AAGAGAATCTGTGACCAGCTTTTGCAGCATATTAGAGATATAGACCATATATGATTCATTTTTATTACATATATATCGTAGATACACTTCTTTGTAAATTAAGTACCGCTTTTCACCTAGAAGAATCTGATTGGCTGTTTCAAGGTCATCTGAAATTGGTGTCTGTTGTTTACTCTTACCAAATTCATGATATTTAAATCAAGTGTAAAAACCTCTTTCTCATTTAAACTATTCGATTTACTAGATTTCTTCTGCTAAAATTATTATTTTTCATTGTAATAATACATGCTAATATATCTACGAAAATTATACATTCATTTATTTATTCCGCATGGGTATATCAGGCTGATATCACTTAATAACCACCCTCAAGGATGACTATCTTTCTTCGTGAGAAACAACTTCTTTTGCAATACAATCTGGGTGTTAACTTCAGTACTACTTTTTACAGGAGAAAAAGGAATTCCGCCTACATAAAATCCCTTTTTTATATTCTTTTGTGTAATTCTAAACCTTCCCATTAATAAACTGATTCACACCATGATTCCTAAACCTTTGATAGTCACTACTGTTTCATGACTGCATCTTGGTAGCTTGTACTTTTAGGTATTTATTGTTTATTTGAAATTCAGGTCGAATTTCTACTGTTTAATCTTCGAGTTTTCATTATAAGCTGGATTGGTTTTTCTAATCCTAGCCATGCTTTATGACTGTGTGCCTATTTGATCTTCAGGATTTTTCATCTTAATCTACTGAATCTGTGTTATTAAAGTTACAACATAAACTAGCATTTAAGGTCTGTTTTCCTTCGAAATTGAATAGACTCTAATGTAATTAGATTATGGGACTTGTGAGGATTTGCATTAATTTAATTTCGATTTTTAGATTTTGTCGGGAACCAACATTAAGTGGAGAGATCACTGAAAACCAGTGAGTACTGAACAACTGTCTTGTCCTACATCGGGACTCTTCAACAATCCACACTCATGACCCGGAATCTGACTGACTGACTGACTGGTTTCAACATAGAACTTTACACCGATGCGCAGCAGTTTGAGTCGCCACACTCCCTCCATGTAGCACACAAAGCAAGAGAAGACAGTAAAGATAAATGCAAAATAGAGACAATAAACAAGGATATGAGACAAAAGGAATAGTAATAACGAAGAACAATATAGTTTCATTGGAAATTATAAGTCACAAGGAGTGGATGCATCTGAGCCAGCCATTGAGAACGATGAGTTTGAGCCATATCACCGATTGTCTCCAGTCGTCACTGGTTCTTACTGTCCCGGAGACCCAAACCAGGAAGCTAGTCTACACCTTCCTAAGTGGCTGGCTTAAACTAATTCTTGTGGATTTCATTGACTGATGTTTTGGTTTGACTACTACCACTAGCTTTCTCTTCTCCAACCTGATCTATCCTGTCAGCTAGCTAACATTTCCCATTGTCGAGGAAGGCGATGACTCGCTGGTATGCATGCGTAACACATGTCCTAACCATCTAACTCAGTCGATGTAACTTCACAGCCTCGTCTATTGATTTCCCCTACCTCCTTACCTAGCACTCGACCGATGCTTAACCTCAATATTGCTCACCCTATTATACCACCATTTCGCACGGGAGATAGAACGCAGACACCTATGATCAAAGACAGCTAACCTTTACATGTCTTCCACTCTCAATAGCCAGGTCTCACAGCCATAAAGGAGGACAGAGCGGACTGGTGAGCAGTACACACGCCCTTTGGTTGACAGCCGGCCAGATATCACGTCTACGCCAGAGACGGCGTAAACTGAAATATGCAAAAGACGGGGAATCTTCACGTTACGAGACCAAGATTGTTGATCACCACTCGTGAATTCTAAATTTGTCAACTAGTGATATATCTCTGCCCTCCCCAATCCTTTGGATGACATTCCACTTAGAGTTCAAGGGTCACTGAAACCCAGACCAAGTGGCTTAATTGTCAACGAGCTTGGTTTCGTAACCTTAAGGTCCTAGATTCGTTAAAGAGTGGAAACGTGGGTGCGCAACTCTGAAGAGTCACAGAAAAGGACGAAACAGCTGTGTCAGTGCTCCTCGTCTTTCAATAATCTCTCTAATTAATGTTGGTTCACGACGAAATCTAACAATCGAGACCCTAATTCAATTTGTAATTTTTATCGGGCGATTTAGACTACTTATGAGTAGTTTGATTTCATTGGTGAAATGTTTCAGTAACTTTTCACCAGCATTACAACAAAGTTATAATAAAAGCTTTTGCGTTTCCCAAGGAATGAAAAACAAAACGATATTGTTTAGGAAAATACAAAAACTCTTCTAGTGATGAATGTCATCTACCCAATGCCCAAATTCCTTCAAACTGTCAAAAGTGAATTTGATTTGTTCATATATGACTACAAAGTTCTCATATTAAAAAATTAGCATTTCATAATAAGAAGATGCGACAGCTTCTATTTGCTTACAAATTTTGCCCTGAAATTTAAAGATAGTAGATGTGAGGCATAACTGAATTCCCAAAATAATTTCCCCAGTGGGCAGCTTAGTCCTATGAGTAAGTTCAGGGTCTACAGTTAGTGCTCTTTTAACTGCTTCTAAGACCATATTGATTGGTATATTAGTATAAAGACTAGTTATATCAAAACTAACCATTATTTCATTATTCTCCAATATTAGAGCTAAGCGTTTTGATAATTCATAAGTAGGCATATTTCTGAACAGTTGTAGCTCCAGCATAAAATGATATCGGAGAAGCGAGTGCCACTGAAGCTCTATGTCCCACTAGGAATGCAAGGAATGAATATATATATATATATATATATATATACGTCGTTTGCTACAAATCCTCCACATAACCGTCTTAAGCTACATCACTAGCTGACATCAGTTACCAAACTGGTGAACACCTTCGAGTACTGGATAGCTGTTTCATCCCTTTTCTTTGGGAGTCTTTATAAGTACGCACCAAGACCCCATTCATCCACAGTCAAACCCAGGAGCTAGAGGTTATGAGGCCAGGCCAACCACTAGGGTTGGAATCCAATGATCTATGAGTTCAAACTTCTGTCGATTCGCCACAAATAGTGTATCCGCCAACCAATGTCATCGGCAAGTATTTTTCCTCAAATCCTATCTGGTGGACTCTAATGGCTGTGACTTAACACTTAACACTGTAGTCACTAGTGAACATTGGATTAGTCCTTTCAGATGTTGGTTCAATGGGATTTCAGTGGTTTTAAAGGTTCTCCAATTGATGTCATCTAGTTATCTGATGTGAAAACAATCAAATCCCTGAAATGTTTTCGAAAAGTTCAAGAATCTAGTATTTTACTGCTTCTTCATTCTGTTTGCAAGAAATAAAAAGGCTCATCAAAGATAACACCTGAAGTTAATTACTCAAGTGTTCACGTATAAATTAAAATTTAATATTGCTGCAATATTATTTTTTATATTAAAAATATGAGCTAATTTAAGACGATTTTTAAAGCTAAATGATTAGATTCTGTAATGAACATGATAGTTCCATTGATTTAATAAGCTATTTATCATGTAGAAATCTGAATGTTTACCCTCATAACAAAGTCGACTAGGACAATGGAACTTCGTATATAATTAAGCTAAATCAGTCTGTCATCTTATCGCTCCGACTGTCAAAGACAAAGTCGAAAGAGTGGACTGGACCTTCATTACACTGAAAACAGTGTGGAAATCCACTGCATTCAGCAGAAAGGAATAAGATCCGCTAATGTGTCAAGTCACTGCTTGTATAGAGTTCAATGACTTGCTACGTCACGAAAACTATTTCCAACTAGCTTCACACTTCTATCAACAATTGCCTTTACCCGATGATCAATAAGGAAGTCTGGCAACGCAATGAACCAAAAACAAGGACCTAATGCTCACAGGGAAATGGAGGTAGGTTAGACACACATTAGGCAGACCACTGAGCAACCTAACGCGCTAGGCCCCAAAGTGGAGCCCGAATGGAAAGTGAAAAGCTAGGTATGGGTCCGAAGGTGACCTGGATGACATCATGTCAAGAGGAGATGAAAGGCTTATGGGAAATCATGGAATTAGCTAAAGAGGACTGAAAAAAACAGGAGGAAATGGAAATGTACTACCGAAGCCCTATATATCACTTGTGACCTAGAAGGAATAATAATAACAATATCGGTCTGTCAAAGCGAACACTAATTTTCATTGACTTCAGAGCAATACGTGATTTCCTTTCACGTGTCAAAAGATGAAATGCGTTTCATCAAAACTGCAGGTACACAGAGAGATGTCAGATAGATAAAGAAAAGATCTGTGTGAAACACAAACTTCTACCACCATGTCAAATATTCGGACTGTTGATATCAGATGGTTGGAGGCAATCGGGAGGAAACCCAGTCTTGCACCTAGGTTTCATGCTAGTTGGCACTCACTAGTCATCAAGGCATATCTGCTAATTTGAAGGAACTTATGTCCCACTCCCCTGAGATTCAAACCCGCGTCACCCAGTGAGTAATGCAGTCAGAGATGTTATCACTGAGGTATTCGGACTCGCGATTGATCTCCTGTAGGACTGACGAGTGCCAACTAGCGCGAAACCTAGGTTCAAGGCTGAGTTTCCTGCTGATTGCCTCCAACCATCTAACATCAACAATTCAAAGTGCACCGTGATGGCGAGCCACCTAGTTGCATGGTGGCCACACTGCAAACCCGACTGATAGAATTCAGTCTGCACCAAACCAGAGGACTATACACATCCCACCAATTACTAACTAGTGTCCAATCAAAATATTCTGATTATCAAACCACACACCTCGTCGCTTGCCTTATCCTAACCAATTACTGTAAAATACAATTGGACAACACTGAGAACAAAGTTGAGAAGACAGTAAATACCATTTTCTTTTCTTTTCTTTCTATTTTTTTTCAATTTCACTGTATGAAAGTAAATCGATTACTTTATTATTACTATTATATTCTGTCAAATTGATGACATTTCAAGTTATTTTCCAAAGGCCAATAGCTTTATATTTTTAATATTCAAGAATCTTTGTCGGAATAGATACCTAAAATTAGAGGTTAAAAGAAAAAAGAAATATGTTTGCATAAATTAGTGAACATTATTCAAACAATAAGACATTGCATTACATGAATGAGGTATGATTCAAACGACTAATAACTTTCATTATAATAAAGGTTTTCTTTTGTATTTTCCAATGAATGAAAAACAAAACGATATTGTTGTCGTTTTTACTGACGTTTCGCTATTTAATGCTGCTGCCAATAGCTTTATCAAAGTATTATCCAGTTTCCCCAATAGTCGCTGACCTTTTCATGAATATATTCGAAGATAATATCTTTTCAAGCATACTCACTCCTAAAATATGGTTAAGATATGTAGATGATACTTTTGTAGTGCTAAAACGAGATCTACACGGTTCATTCTTGGAGAAAATAAACAATCTATCTCCCAGAATCCAGTTTACTTCGGAAGCAGAATCAGACGTCGGTGAACTACCATTTCTAGACTGCCTGGCTAGTTAAGAGGAGGGAAAACGGACATTTTAGTATATCTATATTCAGGAAGAAAACCCACTCCAATAAATATTTAAACTTCGGATCATCACACCTCATCACCACAAAGCTATCAGTTGTTTCAAGTCTTCTTAGACGAGCACACTCTTTGATAACGGATGAGAAAGAAAAAGAAGAAGAAATATCAAACATTACTGAAACTCTCAAGCAAAACAACTACCCAAGGAACTTCATCAACAAAATCAACACTGACATTAAGTATGGTCGAAAACGTATTCCGAAAACATGGACCTCAACAGTCGTCATTCCACATAGAGCGGAGACGTCAGACGATATCAGAAGAGTACTCAATAAGCTCGATATCAGAGTTTTCTTCAAAACATCAGACACACTGAGAAACAACCTTGTCCATATAAAAGACCAAATCCCTGAAGATTCTCTATCTAATTGTGTCTATAAAATAAAATGCTTGGAATGTGATGCGATATACATCGGACAAACATCTCGAGAAATCAAAATCAGAAGAAATGAACAGCTTAGAGCATCTGTTCGACCACCGAGAAATCCAGTTGAACTAGAAAAGCTTGAAAAATCGTCAGTCATAGGTCTACAGGCTATAGAATCAGCCACAAAATTGATTTTCACAATATTGAAATCGTCATCCAGAAAAATTTCAGAAATCGCAAAGAACGTCTAATATCAGAAGCACTTCATATCAAGTGGAATCCAAACTGTCTGAACGGGAATGATGGACTAAAACAGAATTTGACCTGGTTACAACACCTCCCTCCCCCATGAAGTGACAAAATCAACACGAATGTGATAAGCAATTTCATTATGTAAACACACGCTGCTTTTATAATTTTACACATTTATCAAATCCAATAATCTACACCTGCTTTTGTTATCTTCACCAATTGGCCAATTTTACAACGCAAAAATGACCCCACGCTGAGGAACGATGATTAAGTTGTTATATATATAAGCTGAGATTTTGTAAATTCTGGTTTAATAACACTAAATAGCGAAACATCAGTAAAAACAATATCGTTTTGTTTTTCATTCATGGAGAAATACAAAAAACCTTTATTATAATGAATATCATATACCCAATACCCAAATTTTTTCAAACTGTTAGAAGTGAACTTGCTTTAGACATATATAAAGCAGTAACTTTAACAGAAAAATCCCTCCTGAAGGATTATAGTTCCAAAATTGCTACTTGTTTGGGTAATACAGCTAACTCTGTTATTATTTTCCGCTTTTCTTCTAGGCTATGTATCTTTATTCCAATGTTTGCAGATTACATACTAAACCAGTCTTTATTATTTGCCTTTGTTCTTGTGTAACTAATAGTGTCCTCTGAGCTGGTTGGTTTAATTGCGAAGCTTTCGCAGTCCTTCTGGACAATATCTTCAGCGCCATATTTAGCACAAAGTGAAATGATTTAAATTTCTTGGGATAATGTCAAAATCTTAGACAGAGGAAACACGAAAAGTGCCAGAGAATTCCTAGAAGCCTGGTACTCAAACTAAAATGCAATTAACAAGCACGTTAATATAGACGAAATATACCAACTAATAAAAAGTAAATCAGGTGACCAGAAAGTTTAAAATCCAAGTCAATAGAAAATGGTCAATACATATGTAACGATAGTTACTAGGAGACGCAATTATATCACTCATCAAGAAATTTCAATCATTTCACTTTGTGCTAAATATGGCGCTGAAGATGTTGTCCAGAAGGACGACGAAAGCTTCGCAACTAAACCAACCAGCTCAGAGAACACTATTAATTGCAAATCATCCACCTGAGCTACAAATCTTCTCTATTATTTGTTCTTGTGTAATTCCAAATGTAAAAGCTTCTCATTAAAATTTTGTGGTGATGGTATCGACAATGTGCTATTCTATGATTCCGATTCTATTTGAATGAAGTAGGAGTTGGCCGTGGGGATTTCAGCTTTGAACCGTTTGCGGAGAAGGTTTGTTTCGTTATTCTTTCTGACGGAGTTTTGATCCCACCTTTATTGGGAATATTCTAATTGCTTCCCAGATACATGATTCTGGTTAAATAATCTTGTTGTATAGTACTTGTTTCGTATGCATAGTTGCCTAGCGGCACTGTTGAGGTAATTTTGAGTTTTCGACAAGTTATTATTGTTAAATTTTTTTCTTTCTTTACGTTCCGAGTGGAACATGGGGGTTCAAGCTAAGGCTTTGAAGTTTCGGTAGCAGTGGTATTTATTTTCAAGGTATGGGGTTGCTAGCCTCATACGTAACCTTCCCTCTTTACCGGGGATCGAACCCCGAACCACTTGCGTTGTTGGCAAGTATTCTACTGCTGCTCCACCGACGCCCTATTATTGTTAAATAGTATCACAGATTTTGTTGCAAACAACTATCCTTTTGCTATCGTCGGGACACTTAATGGTCTACGAGCTAGCTCGCCTTGTAACCAGAAGGTCCTGGGTTCTAACCTTGGCGGTGGGTGCGTACTGATGAAGAGCCCCAAACTAGGCTGACGAAACAGCTGGCTGTCCAGTACTTCCAGCTGGTTTTCCAATGGTCCTCTAACCGATGTCACAATTCATGATGAAATCCTCCAACCAATCACACACAAAATCCCTACAAAACCAATACTTGAAAGTGTAGGTTAGCTATACAGTAAAATGCGGAAATTGATTTCCAGCGTTTAGATCAGAACACGTCAGTTTCGGTCGCTACACTAACTTCTCAGTAACCTTTTATTTTGATGAATTCGATACTCACTGTAGGAGACTTTCTGTTTAGATTCTTAGTCTTACAGCTGTTGGTCGTCATTGACTTGTCTGTCGTGCTTGAAAAACTTCTCCTTATGAGATGTGTATCTCTTTCCGCTTGTCAGTAACAAGTATCCATTGGCTTGTGAAAATAATTTCCCTTGGGAAAATTCTAATCTGCACAACTAGATATCATTACTTAACCTTAGGCTAATTTAATCGCTTAACTTCAACAGTGACTAACACATGTACTAGTCTTTAGAGGGAAGTGAATGCAATAAGTACGAGACTTTTCTCAAGCAGAATTTCCCAGATGACTGTCTTCCTAACATCTAACGTCTTTAAATTGCATCACGATGTAAAACAGTACAGCTTTACAGACCGTGGGAAAGGAGAAGATAAGAATAAGTCGGACTGATAAGAAGACTGTAGAAAACCTGAACTTTCCTGATGATTTATGTCTAATGACACACAACCTCGAAGGTCTACAAACGAAAACTAAATAAGTTGGTAGCATAAGCAGCGAAGATAGAAGTTAAAGTGAACATAGAAAAGACAGAGGTGATGAAGAGGTCAGATAACCAACAGCAACAAGTACCAATCAATATCAAAGAAAGAAATTTGAATGAGATTACTTCTTAGATATGATAGAGAAGATTTGTAGCTCAGGTGGATGATTTGATGTGGTGTGTTCTCTGAGCTGGGTTAATTTGCGATATTCTTCCACTTATTTTGGTAGCTTTGTTTCAACTACAGACAACACGGATAAGGATGCCAAAACTAGCGAGGATGGGGAAAACAAGACAGGAAATAGGTACTCAGAATAAGGAACAAAATCTGAATTCTCAACATTAATGTCCAATCAATACTTCTAAGGGACTAAGAGATTTGGCGCGCTCGTCAAGAAAAGCGCTTCGGACAGTCTTCAGTAGACTTTCATGAACAGCTAACTTCGCTCGATACTGAAGATCACTTGGCCAGTGAGAAAGAACAAGAAACAAGGAACTCTCGTGGACAACCAACTATCAAAGAACCTATCTGCCAGCAAATATTTTGAAGGAAATAGAGAGTGATAAGAAACACTCTAAGGAAACTGTTGAGTAATACAGCACATAAGTCAGGCCCTCGAGTGAAAGCCGAATTGGGAAACGACGAGTTGGGCATGAGTCTGAGGATGACATGGATAAGATCGTGTGAGAAGGAGGTGAGAGCTTATTGGCAGTCGTAGAGCTACCTAAAGGGAACTGTGAAGAAAGGAAAGATTTGAAATGGGCTTCTGAAGCCCTATGTTTCATTTGTAACGAAAGGGAATGATAATAATAATAATGATGACTAGGATCAGTTTATTGACTATGCTGTAAAATGAAAGAAATCCGGTTCAACACGACGACGTAATAACATCAGTCAGATGAGACCAATGAACCGGACGACCATAATAATAATAATCTCAACAAGTAACAACTGAAACATGCTGCACAACATATTGCTCACGTGACCCGGTGGCCTAGTGGATAGTGCCTTACCATTTGATGCTGGGTTCAATTGGGAACACCAAAAATTACTGGGAATACAGGTAAACCCACCTGACGTGTCCCAAACAGGCCGGAATGTGCATCCTGGATATCACGCCCAGCCATTATCAACCAGACGACAACAACAAGGTTTCACGGAATACCTTCTTGTCTTTTTCCAAGATGACGCAATAAGAATTCTGTGAATACACAGGATATTCAGATGACTTTGACCACCTGTTTTCATGAATTCATTTCCATAAATTACCATCAAGTAATAAAATCGAATAAAAGCAAGTCAATAAAGATAAATTTGAATTTTCCTTAAGATTACGTTTTGATAAATTTCATAATGATATTGGGTTCTACTAATTTCCCCAAAGTAGTGTGTATAAGTTCCTAATCAAATAGTAAAGATTAACGTAAGTTTAAATTTTTCCATGCTAGGACAGATTTGAAACTTCATGAATTGAACATGTTTGTAAGACAAAATGAAAAATATCAAATAGATAAGGACGTATAACATTACCAAATGCCTAATAAATTGTGGTCTATTCAAAAATATTTTAACTTACCAGAAGTTGTACAAATAACCCCTAAATTAAAGTGGGAAATAATTTTTGTTTAAAAATGAATCATATGATCGAATGGCTGTGTCACTCAATATCTATCGAAGTTGACATTCAATGTAGTTCGTTCTATTTGTCCCGAGTGGAATATAGGTCTCAAAACTATGCACTTTGAAGTCTGAGTAGCGGTGTTGCTTTTTTTACAAAGCGGGGTTGCCAGCCTCCCACACTTCCTTCTTTTCCGATCTTACTACAGGCTAGTAAACTAGATAAGGGTTAGGAGTTCGTCAGTCGAGAAATGAACCCAGACCACGTGAGTGTTCCACGGGCAATCTCCTGCTGAACCACTAATAGGATATACATTAGACTACTGATTTGTTTTTAAGTAGTTGAATTCTTTCTACATCATTAATGTTGCCAATGTGTTTTTTTATTCTCCAATTTATTACTTTGGTTGACTGAATATAAAATTTATAAAATTTATCAATTAGTCTGAAAATTTGTCTAAAATACTCTCAGGAAATAATACACTGAGTTGGTTAAAACGTCGGCGATAAGGTGTATGAAATATACTCGATTTCGATGAACATGGGTGTGATCCAGAATCAAAGCGAATGTTTATAAGGTAGAAAAATCTTGCATTTCAAGTCTGCATATTTGCATATTAGATGGTTGGAAGCAATCAGCAGGAAGCCCAGCCTTCTGCCTAGGTTTCGTGCTAGCTGGCAGTCGTCAGCAACCATCTAACATCAAAAATTCAAAGTAAACCATGATGGCGAGCTACCTAGTGGTATGTTGGCCACATTGCAAACCTGATTGATAGAATTCAGTCTGCACCAAACCTGAGGACTAGACACATCACACTAGTTACTGACTAGTGTCCAATAAAAAAACATATTTGCATTTCCTGAACGTCAAGACAGATATCGCTTAAAAAAGACAGGCGAATTTCACTATATATATCCAATAATACTAATTTTGTAACAAAAGAAAACAGTGGTATTCGGTTGAAGAATAGTTTATTTCCCCACTCTCTGTAACTGGATCTTCCTCTCCATCATTCAAGATTCTTGAAGAATAAGAAATCACCGGTAAACCAATTACAAATTCTTCTAAGCAGCTAAAGTCACAGTAGCTTAAAGCAAATCATACTGATTCACAGCATTAGCTATTAAGATGAATGCAATCTAAACACCAGACAACTATTAAATTCAGGAAGTATGGAAAGACTCATTAGCAATACATCCGAACTGATTCATTTTTGGGAAGTCAAATCTACTTAAACTTTCTGAAAAATGATCCAAAGACATGAGTAGACTAACAGAAATAATAAGGAAAGCAAATTTCAGCATGCTTCTCGTCAACCTGAGTATACCTTGTTATGAGTTCCATATTCAAAAAGCGAATGTTTGAAATTCAAACTGTCGATGAACTGTCATCAACCTAAATTTGATTTTAGAAGATCTCTGCACAGCTTTGCAGTCACTTTTCAAGTAAGTGGCATGACATATACTGAGTCAGACTCTAGTTCTCAAAAGCGAGAACATAACCAAAACAAATAAGCTTTAAGAATGAATAACGAATTAATTTCTGTGTGGTTCAGGGATTTAGCGTGTTACCCAAAGAATTTCTAACAGGCTTCGGACTTTTATCGACAGCTGCCTTCACTATTTTCATATTGAGGATCAGATGGTCACCAGAAAACATTAACACCGACGAACTCCAGCAACGAACAAACAAGTATTCCGACTGAAATAGAGATGAGGAGACCGTGGAACAACCTCACTCATGCAAGCGGCCATCTAGTGCAGCCTGATAGGGAAACGATGAGTTGGGTGTGAGAGATTGATATGTAGGAAACCGTGTCAGGCGGAGGTGAAGGCTTATGGGGAGTCGTGAAACCAGCTAAAGAGGACTTCAGTAAACAGAATGAAGTGGCGATGTGCTTCTGAAGCCCTTGATTCCACTCGGAACCAAAGAGAATAATAATATAACAATAAAAAACTAAAATAATTGAACAGGGAATATCTTATTCGAGAATTTCCTCTTCTGGCTCTGCTCGGATGAATGTCTTGATGAGGAACTTAATAATATTAAGCAGTCGCTGGGTGCAAACGGTTATCCAGAAAAGTTTATTGATCAGAATATGAATTTAAAATCAAGGCAGCTCAAGGTACCAACAGTTCCTAAAGAGGCCTTATTCTTACAAATTCAGTTCCTTGGGGATAACATCAGCGTGATACTAACACGGCGCCTTAAGAATAAGGTAAAAAGAGCATTCAATGCTGCCAAATTACGCTGTATCTTCAAAACTGTTTAATTTTTCCTCTTCCTTGTGTATCTACCAATTTGACTGCTCCTGTGGAGCCATTTACATAGGCCGTACAATTAGGCGTGTTTCTCGTCGGATTTCCAAACATCACCCTGCATTGAGTTTAAGTAAAGGACAGACAAAATCGATTCATAGCTTTATTCTATCTCGTCTCGGGGATACAGAACACAAGATTGCTGTTAACGAGACAGCTTTCAAAGTCATCTACTGCATACCAACTAATCTTAACTTCGCCTTAAGAATTCGTTTACTAAATATTGCTGAGGCCGTTGGTATCCATATTAAGAAGCCTAATTTATTTGTCCAAAAGAAACTAGTTCAGACAGTGTCCTCACCTTGGCCATCTAGGTTCGAATGATCCTCAATTTTTTGTAGAAATTTCCTTAATTTTATTTGATATTCTATTTGCTATTATATTATTATTATTATTTATGCATCTTTCCTTGAACTGTAACTCCATTAATCTTACTTTACAAATTGATATTATTTAAAAAACACTAATATTGTTATTGACTACTGTTCTAGAATATTCTGTGTATATAAAAGGAATATATAATTGTAGAGCCAGAGGAGGAAATTATCGAAAAGGCTATTCTTTGCTCAATTATTTTGGTTTTTTATAGATGTCTGAATGAATATTTTTGCAATATAACAATAAACGAATTAATTATCTGAAAGAAATTCATTATCTTACTTATTTTTTACTGGATGGAATTCTAAAAATCAGTAATGTAATATTTAGAGGCAATTATAACTGAACGGAAAAGATTAATTTAATAATGTGAACGTGTAGTACTAGTAATTGTAGTAGTGTGGTGAGAGCAAGCTGCTAGCCAATTGGTAGACATTGATCTACGCTGATTGGTGGAAATTAATCTAGGCTGATTCAACAACCGATCACAGCTGACCTAGACGTGGACAAATATGATTCGCAGACAAGTGGCTCGCATTTCCGAGAAATATCGAAAACGAGAAAGCAGAAGACTGCGTTTGTTTGCAAACGACCAATCAGAAGACCGCCTTCTTTCTGCGGGCAGAAGCGTATTAATGTACGTAAAATACATATAAATACCTGTTGATTTTCGTAATAAAACTGATCTGTTGCTTGGCCCTTGTCTTCTGTTGTTACAGTAGCACTGTTACTTATCAAACTATGCATTTAACTTTCAAACAATAGGTCACAAGTCTGAAGCGCAGTTTATTTACAGGAAAATTCAGACAGTCAGTTAATATCACACAATAGGAGTCACTGCTCATTACTAAACAGATGAACTTGTCTATGGTTATTTCATATCGTTTAAGTTTATTGATTTACCCAGCTGGGATGCTTGGTTGCAATTATTATTATTATTATTATTATTATTATTATTGTTCCCTTGGGTTCCTAGTGGAACATAGGGCTTCAACTGCACGCCTCCAATTGCTTCTGTCTTCTGTTGTACTTTTCACTTGCATCCATGTTAATCCATACTGTTTCAGTTCCTCATCACACGATCTCCTCCATGTCACCCTTCGACGTCCCACTCGCCGCTTCCCTTTCGGGTTCCACTCGAGCGTTGGCCTGACGCGCGATGTCACTCAACGGCCTCCTCAGCGAGTGTCCAATCCATCTCCACTTCCTCCTGCATATTTGTTGGGCGATTGGTTCCTGTTTCGTTTGTTCCCATAGCTTCTTGTTGGTGATTCTTTCCGGCCGGCCATCTGATCTTCAGTATAGAGCGAAGACAGTTGTTGATAAAGGTCTGCAGTCTGTTGAAAATATTCTTGGTGACCCGCCAGGTTTCTGATCCGTATAGCAAAACTGACTTGACGTTTGTATTGAAAATCCGAATCACTTTGTTGTTGATGCAGGCTGAGTGACAGTGGAAGATTTTCAGATTGGTTTCAGGTTGATGAATGTGTTTCTCGCCTTACCGATTCGCGATTTGACATCCTCGTCCGTTCCTCCTGTAGTTGAGACAATGCTCCCAAGATAAGTGAAAGAAGTAACCTCTTTCAAATCCTTCCCGTTGATGGTGATTGGCGCTGGATGTTGCTGTTGTTGTTGTTGTTGGTTGGTTATTTTCATAACCTACGTCTTGTCTTGCAATTAATAGATACATTTCACTGTACAGAAATAGTCAGTTTTGAATCCAACTAATAGATTCGGGATTAAAAGACCAAAATTTTGTATAGTTGACTAGATATACTGTAACGACAGAAGACAAGGGACAGGCAACAGATCGTTTATTGGGAAAATCAACAGATATATATTGATATAGATTTATATGTACATTATTACTCGCTATTGTTAGCAGAGAACCAACGTCTTCTGACTGGTCTTTTTCTCGCTGAAGGCTATTCCATCATCTCTTCGTGGCTGTTTCTTAGAAAGTTAAGCCATATACCTGTGAATCGTATTAGCACACGTTAAGTCTGTTGTGATTGGTTGTTGAGTTCCTTAAGCTTAAGCTTTGTTATTGTTTTTTCTCATGACCCCGATTCGGGATGTGAACACTGACGTAAATTGTCGTCTATAATTCGGGCTAGCAGACAGATATCACCACAATACTACTATGTACTCGGCGAAATACTTATGTTATTCATTATCTGGATCCAAAAAAAACCATTCCACGCCTTATCGAAATGAATTTTCATTTGGAATATTCAAGTAATTATCTAGATTTGTTTAAATAATATCAATATAGACTGTATAATTTGCAAATTAACCATTTATATGATATGAATAGCCACAATAAGATCTGCAGAAACCCATAAAGTGTTTGATTGTTAACATTTCGCATTAAGTATCACAAAAAATTAATTAAATTAAATCACAGACAACTAACCTTCTTCAGCAAAAAGTTCGAAGACTATTGAAGTATAATGAAGAAGAGAGTAAGATAAAGAGCAATTAGAATACAAACATTTATTCGCATCATCATTCCATAACATTTTCATCTAACCATCTACAGTAATTAGTACTAAGAATCTAGATTCGAGGTTCATTATAATGTGATAAGTAAACTTATTTTACCAGATAGTTGGAGGCAGTCGGTAGGAATCCTTGGACCTAGGTTTGATCCTTGTTGGCACTTGTAAACTAGGCATATCTGCAAACTCGAAGGAACTTATGTTCCTCCTGAGGTTGGAACTCGCGTCACCCATTGCTGCAGTCAGAGTATTTCACCGCTGAGCTATTCTAGCACGTGATTAAGCTCCTGTAGGACTTATTGGATACTTTGATTGGACGCTATGTTGTAACCGGTGTCGTGTATCTAGTCCTTTGCTGAAGAGTGAGTTCTATCGGTTGAGTTTTCAATGTGACCACCATGTCTGGAGGCTCGGGTTGGGTGGATGACACGGGTTCGAATATCAGAAGGAATATGAGTTCCTTCAAGATTGCAGATACACATACATTAGTGGCACTCTCACGAGTGAGACCCGAATATGAAACGACGAGTTGGGTATGACTGCTTCAAAGAACGAAGTGTAATATTGTCGACAATATCCTAAACGAGAGTAGCAAGTTTCTAATTCAATTTTTATTTTCCCGTTGATTGATTGAACCGAAATGTTCATCCTCTATTGATCTGTTGGCTCCCGGTACGGACGCTACAGCGATATCTGCAGATTAACTTGAAGTAATCTGGCAGATGATGACTAGTAGTAGAATCGAAGATGCGCATTTCGTCACTTGAATGTGCCTGCATTCCTCAGTGGTATTCCTACAGAGGTGTTTGAAACGACAGATACTAGATTCGAATCTCTGTGGGAATGCTATCACTCACCGGAGAATGCAGACACATCCAGTGACCAGCCCCAAATAGGACCGAAACCACATCCTAGATTTTTTTTTGATTATGGCTTGAAACCACACAGTATTTTCGGTACAAGTATGGAATTTTCAGCATGTGATATCGGTAGCCCAAATTTTGCAGGCCAACCATTGATATCGGGTGTGCGCCGGCAGGGGATCGAACTCCGGACCATGTGCATGGTCGGCGAGCGTCCTAACCGCTGTGCTACTGCTCATCAAAGTCTATCGAATTAGTTCGAATGTAGTAAGTGCTTTTCTTCCGGTATACATATAAGATATGAACCTCTTCTCCTTTTCTCTATCAGATTTAAACTAAACCAGAAATTCAATCATTTAACGCAGGTTAATTCTTTAAAAATGATTTTAAGTTACATTAATACTTACAGCCATCACACATTTCTGTTATTATTGGTTTTTAAGAAGATAAATGATTGTTAATTTCATGTGAATAAATGTTATTCAACACACATGTATATATATATATATTATAAGGCAAAACCATTATAATTATTCCCTTGGGTTCCGAGTGGAACATGGTGCTTTAACAAAATATCCCCAATTTGTGCTATTTTCCGCCATCCTCTTCAGCTGGGTAGCTCCACGATTGACCATAATCTCTCATCTCCTCCCAGAACTTTCTCCTCCATGTCACCCTCGAAGTGGCCACCCACTCGTCACTTCCCACTAAAAATATATTCATCTCACAATGAGTAATTTGCTTGAGAAATAAAAATTCAATATGACAAGATGGCATATTACTTTTGTTTGATATGATTAGTTGGGAAGAATTTAAGTCAAACATCAACCGGACTGAAGTCCTCTACAAAACACTGATCAGTAGTCCATTCGGTTTGGCTTAGACAATTCATTTCAAACCAAATGAGTACAGATGTCAATTAGTTTGTCCCCATGTTGAATAGGATTTTGTTAAACCTAATGAAAGAGTTCAACATTTTCTAAAAATAAAACATCTTTCAAGGAAGTGCCAACAAAAGATACAAGGTTCAGGAATCTAAGAAATAGTCAAAAAAAAGCTTTTTCAATATATATTTGGGATTTTGAAATAGTATTCAGACTATTAGCTTAAGACACTCATTATTGTGTGTATGCCATGCAAAACTTATATCCTCTGTGTCTTGTTAAAAATCACCAATAATAACTGGTGTGGGAAAACCAGCTGAGATGGTCGGTAGCCTGCTTACATCACTGGACTACCGGAGTTGCCTTCCAACAAAATGCTTAATTTAATCTGGATTTATCATTGTTTTAATCGTCCAGTTATATCAAATGACCTTTACATGAACACTTGCGCGCTAATTTAAGTTGCTTCCAAATAAACGCTGTGCAATTCTTCAACGAAATGAAGATATCCTTCAGATTATTACTTCACATGTAAATCCTGTATGAAGAAAAAAGTATTTCGGGACTGAATACACTGAAAATGTTTGTACCGTATGTTCGCATATTATCTCAAATAAAGCTTTATTATTATTGAATACTACTCCTTTTCCTCAACACATCACAAAGAGAAGAAAATGCAAAAGTGATTAGAAATACTCTGACAAATACACCTACAGTCTTTAGAATAAAAGAAAAGTGACACAGTCAATCTGAGACGCGGGATTTGATGAATTTGGCGTTGATATCAGGGTGACATGAAGGAGATCGTGTGAGGGGGAGGAGGGGTAGATGAAAGCTTATGGGCAATTGTGGAGCAGCTAAAAAAGAAAATAGAGGACATACTGAAATGGAGATGTGCTTCTGAAGCCATATAACCAACTTGGAACTCAAGGGAACAATGATAAATAACAGGGCCAGGTTAAACTTTAACCACCACTAATTACCCATGGAGTGCGACCGCACCAATGACCTTGAAACGATCACTGAGTAAGTTGATGAAAGCTGGCAAATAATGTTATCATCATCAATAAAATATGCTCATCGAAGTACTATGCTATTAAATGGGATATATGGCAAGTTTCAGCTTAGGTTGGGGAAAGATTAAATTAAGCTTTGAGCCAAGGACAGGTTAGGGTTAGGTTAACCTATTAAACGTGACATTAGGGTTAATTCAAGTTAGATTAGAGTTAGTTTAGGGATATTTTCACGTTAGGGATAGGTTCAGGAAAGATTAGGGTTAGAAGACCTAAATAATTACATGCATAGAATGTGGTTAAATTACTCTGTTAATATAAGAATAGTACTTGTGCACTGTGGTAGAGTATAATTCCATTGTGGGTAACATTTATTTAGATAAAGTCGCACAGTGTTACACAGTAATATTTACTGATGACGTCTCGAGCACAATTTATTGCCCAGTAAATATTACTGTATTACACTATGAGACTTTATCAAAATAAATTTTACCCACAATGGAATTAATTATACTCTGTTGATACTCCAACCGAAAGCTGAAGGCTATTTTTATCACATTTGAGAGCAAAGTATACTCTGTAACACTTTTATGCAGTTTTATGCATTTGTTTCATAAATAATATGTACATACATACATAGAAATGTCTCCTTCACGTGATTGGTGCGTTCAAGGTCATTCGCTGATTGGTAGATAGTGGTGCTTAAAGTGTAACTTTGCCAATAACAGTATTAGTGGCATTATTGTGTAATCAATCGGGTATATAATAAATAGGCATTTTGATTAAAACTCATTTAGTTTACATTCTTATTTTATAGCTTAGTTATCATTTCTATGTCAGAGAAGACTCTTTTTGTCCAAGCTACTGAATGAAACCAAAAATTCATTTCAGTCTCATTATACTGTTAGACTGACTTACTTTTCCAGATTGAACCTTTATGAATATAAACAAAATATATGATTAATATTCAAGTGTTGGTTTGCAGGGATTTGATTTGATTGGTTACAGGATTTCATCATGAATTGACAGAATTGGGAATTCATGGGCCATTGGATAAGGTCCCAGTGGCTTAATGGTCTGCGAGCTCACTAGCCTTGTAGCCAGAAGGTCTTGGTTTAGAACGCCTGTGGCAGGTGGTTGCGTACTACTGAAAAGTCCCAAACTAGGACAAAACAGCTATCCAGTACTCCCAGCTGGTTTTCCAATGGTTCTCTAACTGACGTCAGTTCATGATGAAATCCTGTAACATATAATTAATAGTTTATCCATTAATGTGAATGTTTTGTTTTTTACAAAATTATAAGAGAGAGTAACTACTAATAAGTGCGTCGGTGGCACAGCGGTAGAATGCTCACCAACCACGCAGGTGGTCCGGGGTTCCATCCTCGGCCAGTAATAAGAATGATAAAGAGGGAAGGCTGGACATGAGGCTAGCAACCCCATTCCGGAAAAATAAACACCACTGCTACCGACACTTCAAGCCTCTAACTTGAAGCCGCCCTATGTTCCCCTGGGAACGTAAATGAATAAAAAAACTAGTAATGAGAGCATATCAGTTTTTCATTAGTAAAATACTCGCTAACCACGCAGGTGGTCATGGGTTCGATTTCCGGTTGGTCAACTCCTTGACCACGCTTAGCCGGTAGTAATCTCAGTAAAGAAAGAAGGTTGGGTGGGCGTAAAGCTAGCAACAAAGGCTGAGATGGTGAAATTAAGTGTGACACCAGTCGAACCTAGGAAATGATTCTACATGAGTGAATTTGTGCAATGAAGAGGCCGAAACAAGATTCAGAACATCTCTTGACGAAGCGAAAATCGGTGTTTGTGTGAATGTGTGGCAAATGTGAGATGGGAGTCTCGAGGATTCGACGGGTTCTGTGCTTGGAATGGCCGACGGAATCAGGTGCATAGTTACAAGCTATGTTCGACCTGAAAAAACAGTGGACTATATGATAAGTAAGGAGGAAGATGTGTTGCCTGTATTTGTGATGTGAAGGTATCTTCATAGTATTTGGTTGCCTTCAGAAATATTGCATTAGAGATCAAGTGTTGTTCCAACGCTCTCCTATCACGATTCACCCTTCTTCTAATCTTGTTCAGGCTTCATTTTCACTGAGCTACTTCAGAATAGTCACCTCGTGCTCGATGTGTTGCGCCCCACAAAGAATTCACAACATTTCAAATAATATTCATGTGCTCTGATGGTTTTACCTCCAACTACATCTATAAACTTGCGTGCACCTACGGCAGTAACAACATTGGAAGGACAGAAAGAAGGGCTTCTATCAGGTTTTCAGAGCATATACCGAGAAACTAATGCTCACAAGGAAGCAGATATTTACAAAGTGCAATTACCAGACACATTGTGAAGACGGGTCATTTTGTCGAGATTTCCAAATCCTTCAAAATATTAAACGTACAAAGGACAGCGAATCTACTACGATTTGCTGAAGCAATTGCAATCAAAAGTCTCAGACCAAACTCATGCACACAGAAAGAGAGAGTAGTCAATCTCTCACTCCCTTGGTAACAGTATTATTTGCATTACATTGATTAGTCATACACACTAGTGAGCTCAGCTCACTAAACAAGTTTTCAATTTGATGAACTTTAACCTTCTTGAGTTGCCATGTTGACGTACAAGCTAACACTGTTTATTAGGTTTTTCTGTTTTCTTTTATATTCCTTTAAGTTCCCAGTGGAACATAAGGCTTCAAGCTAGAGGCCTGAAGTTTCTGTAGTAGTGGTGTTTATTTTTACAGGATGGGGTTGCTAGCCTCATACCTAACCTTTCCTCCTTACCAGTCTTATTGCCGGTTTTTAGCGAGGTATAGGAGTGAATTGGCCGGGGATCGAACCCCGAACCACCTCCATGGTCGGTGAGCACTCTACCACTGTGCCACCGACTCAAAAATTACTCCACTATAGAAGGGTACATTCTACTCTTCTGAAACATAATACACTATGATACAGTTTATTCTAAAGAAACCTGCCTAGTTTGGAGTTGTATTCTTCTACAGCCTACGAATTCCCCTCGTAGTGAAACGAGATATCTGACAGCAAAATCTTGTCTGATATACATTCTGTGTTTTTCAGCATAACCATTCGGGAGAGTGATGTTCTCAAGCAGATTGAAAAACCTTGATTATTTCCCTGTGTCATATCTTAATCATTTTCAAATAAAATTTTCTCTGTACGCTTTAAAAATTTTCAGATTATCAATCAAATCAAGTATTAACTGTATAAATTAGATAAATTTTTGTCTGGCATTTCAGGATTTTATTTATCAGAGACAGAGTAGAAAAGTTATTTACAGTGGATAAATCAAAACAAAACAAACAACAGTACTCACGATGATCAACCTTCTCTGGATGCACCTCTTTTGAATGATCAGGATGACCTTTTGGTTTATTTTAAAATAATAATAATAAAAGAAGGAAACATGTAAATGAATACACTTTTTATTCATTGAATAGTTCAACTTGGACTGCAAAAGTGATGAAAATAGATGTATAGCCTTTATTTATTAAAAAAAATAAGCGAAACCTGACTGTTGAACTTCTCCATGATATGGATTTTTAATGATGACCACACTGGAATAAACGGATGTGTGATGGGAGTGTTAGTTAAACACTTCTGAAAAGTCTTAAATGGGGTCGAAACATCTGCTCAGCACTCCCTGGTAGGATATTTACAAAGATCTTTGAATATCTTCGTCTATAGAACCTGGTATTAGATTAATGAGGAATCGGTAGGGATGACATTGTGGATAACGGAACGGACTAACTATAGATATGTTCTGCTTTTAACACAGTGGAAACGTCATCCAAATATCTACACGTTAAATATCTGAGGAGCTATATTTTCCCAGGTATCTATCGAGACATCTCCTATGGTTGGGAATATTGATGGTCCCATTGTTATCCCATCTGTCTGTCGGTATATTTTTCCCTGGAATTTGAAGAGGGTACACGTGAGACGTAATTGAATTCCTAACATAATTTCCTTAGTAGGTAGCCTTCTCCTTTGAGTGAGTTCGGGATCAGTAGTTAGTTATTTTCTGACTACTTCTAAAGCCATATTGATGAGTATATTAGTTAGAAGGTCAGTTACATGGAAACTAAATGGATTTTAATCATTTCTTTTAGGTTACAAGGTGAACCTTCCTCAGTGGTTCTCTAACTACAGCGAATTCATATTCAAAGTTCAAATCAGTCGAATCCCAGCAAGACAACATTTGAAACTTAATTAATTAGACAGTCAAATGTTTGAATCTTCAGCTATTTATGGTTATTTACACACTCCTCCACTAGATATAATTCTAACATTCCTATAGATTCAGTCGACAAACCAAATATAATTCAACTGTTCAATATTAAACATGAACGGGTGCATGTTTTAATTTTGTACATTGTTATTAAAGTGCTAGCTACATAGAATGATGGCCACATTGCAAACCTGACTGATAGAATTCAGTCTGCACTAAACAAAGGACTAGACACATCACACTAGTTACTAACTAGTGTCCAATCAAAGTATCCACTACAGTCCTACAGGAGGTCAATCGCCAGCCCGAATAGCTGCTCAGTGGTAACGTCTCTGACTGCAGTACTCACTGGGTGACGCGGGTTCGAATCTCAGAGGAGTGGGACATGAGTTCCTTCAAGTTGGTTGCAGATACACCTTGATGACTGATGAGTGCCAACTAGCATGAAACCTACGTCCAAGACTGGGCTTCCTGCTGATTGCCTCCAACTATCTAAAAGTGCAGCATGTAAGTTTGTCACCTTTCACAACAGCACGCACTTTGGTAAACAAAATGAAATGTAATCGAACTATAATGGACAGAAATCTACCCAAGAAATAATCATCAGATGGAAATTAATATGAATGTAATTCATCTGGGAGATAACAGAGAATGAATACATTTGTACCTCTTGAAAACGATTGTCAACCATATCAACAACTAGATAGGTACGTTGGAGGCTTTCATCATGAGGTGACATCAATTAGAGAACCAATGGAAAACCTGCCTGGGAGTACTGAACAGTCAGCTGTTACGTCAGCCTAGTTTAGGACTCTTCATCAGTATGCACCCATTGGGGTTGGAAACCGGGACCTCCTGGTTATAAGGCGAGCCAGCTCGTCGACCATTGATCCACTGGGACCCGATCCAATGGTGGGCCCTTGCTGATGAAGAGTCCCAAGCTAGGAAAAAACGGCTGTCCAGTACTCCCAGGTTTTCCAATGGTTGTCTAACTGATATCAGCGCACGGTGAAATCCTCCAACCAATGAAACGAAAAAAAACACTAAAAATACCAATATTTGAAAACTGGATAAACAGATAAACATGCCAATCAATTTCAGTATCTTCAAATTTAGCCATTATTTCATTATTGAAATAAAAACACTGTCAAACTAACTCATATTCTCCACGCAGTCAGTTTTGTTAGAAGGAATGAGTCAGAAATCCCTCCTCCATCTTACTCCAATAAATAATTCCCTAAATCGCCACTGTTTTCGCTTACTGACCGGCCTGCTTCAGTAAGTAACACTCACTTAAGAATAGATCTTGAACACTGCGGTGGAGTATAATTATATCTTGTTAGAAATCTGTCTAATGAAAGCAAACAGTGATACAGTATTATTTTCTGATAACGTTTTAAAGCACAATTTATTCCTCCTATTGACGCATCAGTAGTTACGGATAAATGGGACTATATCACAAAGTCGGTCAGGACGTTGCATATGAGGAAATTAAGAAGCCTTCAGATACAATAATGAACAAGGAGCTAACAGCAGATTTGGTACGCTGAATGAAGCTGTCACTGGATAAGTCTAATTGGTTTAATTTAATGCCTTGAATTGATATTACCAGTAGAATATATGTTACAATTTATATATATATATATATATATATAAACCAGGTTATCCTAAGAGACCAGTAGTTGATTTTAGAAATGCCCCTACCTATGAGTGACCTGAACAATTAGCATCAACATTCTGTCCTATCAGAAATCGTCCAAACTTTAGATTAACGAATTCATACGAAAGAGAAACAAAGTTAAATGACATTCAAGTAAGAAATAATGAAAAAAATTATGATTAGTTCTGTCACAACTAGTCTTTGAACTCGTTTACTAATCAATATGGCTTTGAAAGCGGTCACAAAAGAAGTAACCGCTGATTCCGAACTCACTGAGATGACAAAGCTATCTACTGAGAAAATTATTTTAAGAATCCAATCATGTCTCACGTGTACTGTCTTCGAATGCCAGGACGAAATATGTAGACAAAAACAAAAGGGATAACAATGGGATCACCAATATACGGTTCTTCAAACATATAATTCTTACCCCAAAGATATTGTGTAGATTTGTGAATGACGCATTGATGGTGTTGAAAACAGAACAGATCTCTAGCTAGTCTGTTCCACCAAGCACAATAGTGTCGCTATTGATTCCTCATCAATCTGAATAACAGCTTTTCATATGACGAAGATATTATCAGGTCTTTGTGATTCTCATACAGTTAGAGATAAAAGAAAACTCTAGCTGTTGTGTCTAACTTACTTGTCAAGTTTCGCTAGCTGATTATTTTCTGTTTTAAAGTGTTGCGTTGTAAGGATTTCAATGATTTTAAAGACGATTTCGCCAATAACCGAAATCAGCTAATTAGCTACTGAAAACCTGGGAGTACTGGACAGCTTTTTCATCCCCATCAGGGACACTTCAGAAGAGCTTACCTACTGTTACCATCATGTATTTGTCTGCTAATTACAATGTGGTCATCGCCCACGCAGAACATCTTGATGACGTCCAACAGTCAGGTATCGCGTATTTCCCATTTATTAATAACTGAGCAAATAAATATCACATTCGAACAGGAATTGTGGATATAGGAATGAAGAAATTTGATGTGTGACATATCATACTAGCTGGAATGGTGAAAAAAGCCTCCCTAACGATTCTTTAGTGAAAGAACTCTGGATACTGCATGATTCTATGTAGCCGCCTTTATCCAGGCTGACTAGCGAGCACTACTGGTTGTTGTGAGCGGTAACTGACTACTCATTTCAATCAATTAGTGCAATACATAGCATTATGCATTTATGCTTGCTTTCTTCATCTCCATTTACGGCATCCAACAGATTACATATTGTGATCTGAATATCTTTGATTTCTGAAGGAGACTGTGGTGAAATTCCACTTCGAACTGTTTAAACTGAAAATTTTTAAGTATTGGTTTTGTAGGGATTTTGTTTGATTGGATGGAGGATTTCATCATGAGCTGACATCAGTTAGAGAACCACTGGAAAGTTAGAATTCATAGGCCATTGGATAGGGTGCCAGTGGATCAATGGTCTACGAGCTAGTTCGCCTGGTAACCAGAAGGTCCTGGGTTCGAACCCTGGCGGTGGGTGCGTACTGATGAAGAGTCCCAAACTAGGCCGACGAAACAGCTGACTGTCCAGTACTCCCAGGTAGGTTTCCTGTTGGTTCTAACTGATGTCAGCTCATAATGAAATCCTCCATCCAATTAAAATGAAAATCACGATTTATTTTTTAAACTGCGAATCAGATTCATTGTGCCATGTGCACTCATTGTTCTTTGCCTTAGATGTGACCACATGTTTTCCGTATCCTGATCTATCAAACTGTTGACACTTAATTCGCACTGCTAAAATTACGCTGCAAACATTCAAATGTTTTTATATATTATTCAAGCAAGTACAAAATCAAAAATGGAACTAAACGATATATAAGATGAACATGAGAAACATCCACGTCAATTCACCTTTTCCTTTAGGTCCTCCCTTTGGACCTCCCTTTGGATGCTGTTTCTTACCCTTTCCTGAAGTAATACATTTAATTGAATCAAAACATGTATAAGTTGATTTCGTATACACACACACTGACTAAAACGTTATAAATAGTTGGATATGAAATTAAATTGACTGAAACCTCGCTTAGTTATCCACTTCACTGGTAACTCATTGTTCCATAGGATAGGAGCGACGAAATGACGGGGTCTTTTCAAACGTTTTGGAAGCCAGTCAGCCAATGAGTCCTCTTTCACTCATTGTAAGCATAAATAATCATGAGGAAGGCTGATCACATCGCAGAAGAAATCCGAATACATGGAATTTGTTAGAGCTGATCTGATGGAGGTGGAGTCTCTAAATTCCTAACTGGGGAATCAATAATCTTCTCTGTGGTGAGAGCTGTCTGCTAGCCAAATTGTAAAACAGCAATTTACGTTAATGTTTACGTCCCCAATATTGGTCATGAGAAAAATAAGATTAAACAACCAATAACAGCAGACTCTGTGTGGGCGGATACGATTAGCAGATATATGGTCTGACCTTCAAAGAAATGGCCACAAAGAGATGACAGAATAACTTCCAGTGAGAAAACGACCAATCAGAAGATGCTGTTTCTCTGCTAACAATAACGAAAAATAATGTACATAAAAATCTATAAATATCTGTTGATTTTCTCAATAAACGATATGTCGCCTGCCCCTTGTCTTCTGTCGTTACACTCCAGTCACCAGGACGAAAACCACAAACAAACTGAGGGAGTGGCTGTCATGATGTCACCAACAGTAGTTAACTTTCATATTTACAGGGGAGCCAATCTCCTCTATGATAATAACATCAAGATTCAACTCAAAATGTTGGACAGTTATAGTTATCCAATGCTATCCTCCTAGAAACAATGCAGAACATGAAAAGAACGACTTCTACAGAAAAGTGCAAACAGCATTGGAAAGGACCCCAAGTGGAGACATCCAAATCCTAACGGATAATATGAATTCTGGACAAGCCATGATCAGACAACACAGGAAGATAACTCATCATCAGTCGAGAGGCTCTCAGGAAAATGAATGAAAATGGAGAACTCTTAATGGATTTCTGCACTTTCAGTGATTTAGTAGTTGGAGGTAGCGTGTAGAAGCACAAGGACGCCTGGTGAATTTCACCAGATGGACACACCAAAAATCAGAAAGACTTCATCTCAATCTCAAGAAAGTGGAGACACAACCCGTTGGATACGAAATCAAGGAGAGGAGCAGATACAGCTCCAGATCACTGTCTAGTGCAAGGAATCGTTCAAGGTCGAATTGAAGGCCATTAAAGAAGCTTGAGAGAGACCACAATTCATATTCAACACTCACAAACTGAGGACAAAACTACAAAGAACACATTCGTTTCATCCATCACGAAATGGATGGAGACATTATGCAGCATCTCTGAGGAAAGCTGCGTGGAATAACACTGGAACTCTCTGAAAGCAAGTCAAGAAATGGCCCTCTGCAGACATTTGGATGTTGATAGATAATAAGGTGATGGTGACACAGAAGACGAGTCTGTGCAAAGATAGATAACGAAAGGAGAAGCTGAGTTCAGTCTGCAGCGCACTGAATAAAGAAGTGAAGAAGAGTGCGAGGGAAGACAAAATACAATTTTACGAATTACCTGCATCTCAAACAAAATCGGCTGCAGGTAAGAGAGACCTCAGATCATTTTAATAGACAACCAGGTCTCTTTCAGTGAAGAAATCATCACAGTTGAAGCTAGTGAGAAATAATGAAGAGGAGAAACAAATGACTTTCGAACCGAACACCACCTACAACTCGTCCAGAAATGCCAACAGGACTGCCAGTCAACATCAGTCTTCAGACAAGAGAAAAAGTTTGGAATGTCATAAGTCTACTAAAAATATAAAAGGAAGCAGGACAAGAAAGAATTCCTCCAGGAGCACTGAAAACGAATCCAGAAACTGCAGCCAATATGCTCACGCCGCTTTTGCAGACTTTTTGGAAGATAGAAAGGAACATACCAATTTCAAAAAAGGTGAGAGGCCTTTGAAAAATGGTCACGTTTCTGTCCACACCACGCTAGGTATCACTATCGAACAGAGCATAGAATTGTAATGAAATCTCTCCCTGAAATTCATCGACCTCAAAAAGGCCCTCAACAGAGTTGACCATGAGGTAATCTTGCAAACGCTTAAACACTACAAGAAGCTTCAAAACTGTATTAATCTTATTCAACAGCCATATGATTATGCCACATGTCAAGTGATTCACAATGGGAATGTCAACGAGGCGTTAAAAGTGAAGACAGGAATAAAAGAGGGATGCCTCTTTGTCACTGACGATATTCCCCTCTGTGGTGGACTGGATCATGAAGCAGTCTATGACGGTGTAAGAATACAGGGAAACGTAAAACCGACGAGAAGACACTGGAATCTCTGGATGCAAACTCTAAGATCAGTGACAGAAAACCATCGTGTTGGCAGGAGAGGCTAGAACCGAGAAGAGGTCTTCGAATAAACATGGAGAAAACAAAGGTGATGAAGCTGCCTGATCAAGGACAACGACAGGCACTTATCACCAACTATGAGAGATATCTGGAGCAAGTTGTGACTTTCACCTCGTAACTGGTCGAAATCCTATAAATGCATGCGTCAAAGATAAGGATTTCAAAAGTGGAATTTGGAAAAGAAGAAAGGCTTAAGTCACTCCGAGATCATCGTGGAAATCTACACAGCTTATCCGACATATAATTTTTAATATCAAAATTATGCCGATATATTTAATTAATTTAAGAGGAGATGAAAACGTGTGGACAGACTTGGAGCCAGGTAAAGACTCTAGCAGAGAACCGAACGCAATGGAGATGCACGGCTGAAGCCCTCTGTTCCTCTAGGAATTAAAGGAAACAATAATAATAATTTAATTACCTTTAAATGTTATTTACAAAAGGATAAAATCGAAAATGAATTCGAACAGGTAATAGTGACCATCAGAAATATTCAAGCTAGCTCACCTTTTCCTTTAGGTCCTCCTTTTGGTCCTGCTGGATGCTGTTGCTGACCCTTTCCTGCAATGATACGTTTAATCGAATTAAAAATGTGCACAAATTGGGTTTTTTACACACACACACACATCTACTTAAATGTCACAGACAGTTAGATGTGAACTTACTTACTTTACTTCGGCTATCTCCTACGGGAGGATGAGCCGGCTTCATGAACATCTCGAATCATCGCTGCCCAGGCGCGGCGATCTGATGCAAGGTTTTGCGACAGGGTTATCCAATTCTTGTTCCACAGACGGAGTCCGTAGACGGTTTGTAGCCCCAGGCACTCCATATCAGCCTTGACTGTACCAAGCCATGTTTTCAGCTGTCCACCCCTGCGACATCGCCAAGATGGTAATGGCGAGGGATTTAGAACTGATTTGACCAGATCGTCATCTGGTCGGCGCAGAACATGGCCAAACAGAGTCGTTTGTAAGAGAGTTCATGAAGTTTCATGGGAATTTGGTACGAGTGATGTCCCCAGAATCGCTCGGCCTTTTGTTTGAGAGTGCAGCTCTAGCCTTTACACAACCAAGTGTGACCTACAAGGCAGTAGGAGTGGAGTAGGGAGTCCACTATCCATTGGCAGCCGGTGACCGAAGTTCGGTTCATACGCCTTTTTGAATGGGGCCAGACATCCAGGACATCCAACAAGCCCTTTGTCCATACGTCTGCCGGTGAGCTCCAGTGAGCTTCATACGCCAGTCGTTGGAGGTTTGGAATCAGGGTTTAGCCATCTCCCCTAGACTGTCATCCAATGGACAGTCAACCCGGTGAAGAGCACCGGGCATCCGCTTTCGCCCTCTCACTTTGGTGAGAAACACCTCCGCCACGTGAAGGCAGTGAGTAGGACTTCCTCAGGAGAGGCTATGTAAGACGCCCAGTCATATGGGAGCATTTCAAGAGGTGTGCGGAGGGGTGGCCAACCCGCAGCGCAAGGCACCCACCCCCGACCATCCTGAGGCTTTGGAGGCTAGATGTGAACTAAAATGACCTGAAACCTCACCCAGTTCACCATTTCTCCAATTTACTATCCTATCCAAAGCGTGGGAATAGACCGAACGTTGGTTATGATGCCAACGATGCTACCCTGGAAAACCAATCCATTTGCTTCAGAAACTTCAAAGCACGGAAGAATATAAAAATTAAACTTATTGCCCGCTAGAATCAGATTGAAGGAAATTTTGCCTCGTCAAACCAACACAGAAAGGTGACTTGAGATTTCTCAACAGCTAGCGCAGATTCATTCTCCTGTTCACACCAAGGAAAATATTAAGTCTTTCTGAAGGCGAAACTCCTCTCGGAGTAAGTTTGATTTAAAAGAAGCAAATCATGTAATGATCAAATTACGGCGCATAGAATGGCAGTCAATTCTTCATGACATCCTTGGAAATGCCTTCTACAGGGGTCACCACGAAGTAACTTGACGCTTGTTTCTACGCTATGGAGTGCCCTAAACCCTTACCACCCTTATTCGACAGCTATATGACAAAGATGGATACCAGGTGATTCACAACAGAAAGATCACTGAAGGCTTTGAAGTGAAGACAGGAGTGTAGCTAGGCTGCTGACTATCATGGATGAAATTCCTGATTGTGGTGGACTGGACCGTGCGACAGAAAGCGAGCAGTGAGGAAACAAGTCTATGATGGACCAACGGAAATACACCAGAGGATCTGGATATCCCGAATGATTTTTGTCTAGTGCCACGCAAACTCCAAGAACTACGGGCGAAAAGCAAAAAGTTGGCAAAAGAAAAAGACTGAGACGACAGAACTTCAGGTGAACACAGACAAGACAGAGATGGTGAAGATACCCAACCGAAAACAACAAGTACTCACCACCATCAAAGGGAGAATTTTGACAAGAATCACTTCTTTCACTTATCTGGGTAGCATCATCTCAACTACACGTGTCACAGATGAGAATGTCAACTTCAAGGTCGGAAAATTGACACTGGAATTCATTACTCTGAAATTATTGCGAAAATCTACTGCAATCAACTTAAGGAACAACATCTAAATTTTAAATGTGATCAAATATTGATTCTTTTATATGACATACAACTTTCACTGTTGAAATTATCCAGCCACTTTTAGTTATTTATTAATAAAATTTACACAAGTAAAGAGTTGAAAATGAAATTAAACAATGAAAAATGAACATTAGATACATTCAGGCTAGCTCACCTTTTCCTTGAGGTCCTTCCATATGTCCTGCTGGATGGTGTTGCTGATCCTTTTCTGGAACTATACATTTAATTCAATTGAAAATATGTATAAGAAGTTGACTCCTTCTACACACACACATACACACAAATTTACTTGAATGTTATAAACAGTTAGATATGAAGCAAAATCAAAATCTTCACTGTAACTGTTGGCATCAAAGTGCCGCATATCAGCCTGCCGCACTTCATAGAAGTATACATAATGGTAGGATAAAAAGAAATGCACTGGAAATATAATGCCAATCACTTTTTGGTAACTTCAAATTTACGTATAATTTCATCATCCTGATAAACTGACTAACTAATATTTCCCAGTCAATGAGTTCTGTTAGAAAGTAGGCGTCAAATATTCCTTCTCTATTGTTCACCAATGAATAATTCTCCAAATCGTCACTGTTGTTGCATACTGACCAGCCTGGCTCAATAAATAACACCTGAGACTCTCATAAAGCAGTGATATTTGTGGCTCAGTAGCTTAGTGAAAAGAAGCTTTGACACTTTTTGGAAGATGGTCGCTGACTTCAAGGTTTTTCTCCTGGAAACTTCATTAATATTTGGAATTCAGGCAGTTCCAACTGACAACACCTAAACAGGTCGAAAATGTCTTCCTGTATTCCCCTGCTAGACATTACTCAACAAATGTACTTCATGTTGTTTGATTGATTTATTGAAGATGATGAAACAGCTGTCCAGTAATCCCTAGTTTTCTCTTGTTCTCTAACGAAAGGCAGTTCATCATGAAACTTGTAACACCCTTGCCTGTTGTATGTCAGTGTGATTGTTTTCCGCTTTACAGGGGTCAATGTCTGTATTTATTTAAGAAAACCAATTCATCCTTGATAAGTTTCAGGTTTGGTTATGGGCTGAAATCAGTTACAGAAATACTGGAAAGCCAGGGAGTACTGGACAGTTGTTTCGTCTTATTTTGGAACTCTCTTCAGTAGTGCTCACCCCTTGGAGTTCGAACTTATTTAACACAGCTCACAGTAATACATATTCAAAGCATTAGTAAAAAATAATACCACAGTGATATAAGAATAGAACTTGTGCGCTGTGGTAGAGCATAATTCCATTGTGGGTAAAATTTATTTTGATAAAGTCTTACAGTGTTATACATTATTCCTAATTCCTAATACATTAAGAATCCTACGTAGGATTCTTAATAAATCATGAATTAGGGTAGTGGTATTTAAACCTACAAACTCACTCAGTAGGAAAAGCTCTGTAGGTTAAAGGACCCTATCGGTTGACTCAATTAGACAAAATAATATGATTTACAAAATACCCTGCAGTGACTGTGAGGTCAACTACATAGGTCAAACTGGTAGATCAAGGTAGTCAGATTGTCGGAACATAAGAATTTAGGTAAGGTAAGGATGGTTGACCTCAAGAAGATAAGTAATTCAGAAAAAAGCTTAGCAATTGCACTGCATGCACTAACACACAATCATGGTGGGAGAGGGTTAAAATTCTAAGATGTAATATAAGGAGGTGGAGAGAGAAGAGAGATTGATTACTGAATCCTTGTTCATCGAGTCTACACCCAACACGTGCAATAGGAATGACTCATCACTCATACCGGAAATATGGAAAATACTACTACTACCAATCAAATCAAGCGATGGAAAATAATGGAATTATATAAACGAAGTTAGAAAGTTGTGTAAGTAACTCGATATGACTGTGGGCAATAAATTTTGCTCGAAACTTCGTCATCAGTAAATATTACTGTATAACACTGTGAAACTTTATCATAATAAATTTTACCCACAATGGAATAATACCACTGTCAATTTTGGTGAACATTGAATAGTTTGTTTATTCGAACTGGTCTCCATTTGGCGGGAGACAAGAAGGCTGTCATTGCTTAATTGTGTACTGGTTGGCAGAAGACTGGAGAAATGCGATCAGAAACTTTAGCACTGATTAACCACTGTAAATGTGTTTCGTTATCGCTTGAAGAATAAATAATCGTGTTGCCCAACCGTTTTCTGTTGTTCCACGTCAGTTACAGTGCATAGTGTTCTACGTATTAAGCTTAATCTTCTGAAACCAGCGATAACTCCAAAATCTCAGTGATATGGATATTTGACAACCACATTATATGTGATGAATACATATCACCTTTCCAAAGAAGTGATATTAGGAAACACTGAACTAAGATTACATCTCATGCATTATAAGTTTATTATCGATGACTGAAAATAAACAAAATGAAAGTTAGAACTTTACACTTTACACCTACTTATAACATAACCATGTTCTCCGTGTGGTTTCTGTGTTGTATGATTTCCTGAAAAATAAAATCAACTCAGACATCACCTTTATGCAAAAACATTCTGCTTAAACTAATGTGGTGAGAGCTGTCTGCTAGCCGAAATTGGTAGACAGCAATTTACGTCAATGTTATGTCCCGAATTGAGGTCATGAGAAAAAACAATAACAAAGCTTAACCTTGAGGAACTTATCAACCAATCACAGAAGACTTTGCGTGGGCGGATACGATTAGCAGATATATCAACGGACTGTCTAAGAAATGGCAACAAAGAGATGACAGAATAACTTCCAGTAAGAAAACGACCAATCAGAAGACGTTGCTTCTCTGCTAACAGTAACGAATAATAATGTACATAAAAATCTATAAATATGTCTTGATTTTCTCAATAAACGATCTGTTGCCTGACCCTTCTCGTCTGTCTTTGCATTACAACAAATTTTTAGAAAAAATGATGAAGAACTTTTATGTTGGCTCCCTAAATTTATCTTATCCTCAGGCTCACTGGAGGATATTTCCACACTGATTTCAGATTATTGTTCATATACATTCCTATCCCGATCCTATGAACCTGATTTCACATATTATAAAAATTACTCACATTGTCAAATATTAATAGAAACATATTCGTTGTGAAATCTAAGGCTGAAATGTGTTTACGTCAAAGCATTTTCCCTATAATAATTTCAATGCATAATGATAGAAATATAATGATCATTGACCATGTTAATCTGAAGTCAACTTATAATATGTACTCACGGTGGACATCAGATTCAGTTGGCTTAGCAGGTGCATGAGTTGGGACTGCAGCTAAAATGTACAAAATTCAAGTATTCATCAGCATATTTTGAAGTTAAAATTTGACATCATTCATAAACGTCATGAATTTCAAATGATATCAACTTGAGTTCAATGGAACATTAGTGTAATACAAATTTACAATATAGCATATATGTATATACCACTCTTTTACGCTCAAAGTGGAAAAGACGTGTATCCAGAAGCGACTTAAATCGTACTCTGATGAATATGTAACCAGCCGTCATGTAAAAATGAACTCCAAATAAGTTCATGTTATACTGAAACCTGCGCTGAATGGTGATGTTGTCTAGAAGGACGAAGAAAGCTTCACAATTAAATCAACCAGCTCAGAGAACACAACTAATTCAAACTGTATGATTTCCCATCCACACAATATTTAATGTTACTGTCATTATTCCCTAGGGTTCCAAATGGAACTTGGGTCACCACCAGCTCAAAGCTATTTCAACCAGTCCTCTGCAGTCACTTCAATCCAAATTCACAATATCAAAGCGGAATAATCTTCCTGATGTTGAGTGAAGTAGGGTTCCATTCATATTTTCACCTCAAAGTAGGTCAAAATTACAATTACGATGCCATCATTTCCGATTAAAGTACAAAATCCCACAAACATTTTCCCAAAATGTATATATGTAAAAATATTCACTGTGATATATACACCAAAAACAATCGAAGTCAGATATATGTCTACGCCAATGCAGTATTCTTGTAATATAATTGCTAGGAATTAACTCGATATAAATTTATAACATGAACTCACGGTGAACATGAGGTCCTGTTGGCTTAGCCGGAGCAGCTGTTGGTGCAGCAGCTGAAATATATAGACAGTTCAAGTATTTATCAATACAAGTTAAATTTAACAGTTCACATTGTTCATCATTGATATGAATTTCAAATGAAGTCAGTTTGAAGTCAGAGGAAGAATTGTGGCACTATCACATTTCTCCGTGTAATAATATTCATTATTTCTGATTGTATTATATGACGTAATTATATTAATATATATTTGCTTTCCTTCCGAGTGGGATAAACGTTTCCACGCCTGAGCTTCAAATTTTCAGTGCCTGTGGATTTGTTTGTTAGGGGTTGGGGTTGATTGTTCCTTCCATCTCTTCCTTACTGACTGTGAGCTAGGAAAAGTCCAGGTATGATTCTGCCGATAATTGAACCATGACCATGTCCGTCATTGGCATGGACTATACTACTGAACCGCCGAAAAGCATTTCATAAAATTTTATCAGGAATATTGACGACTGTGAAGCTTCATGACTTATTATAGAAGTCAAAACTGTATAGACTATTGTTTTCTTCCAGACTTGGATTCAGACTCTTATCAAGCTGTTAGCTTATGAGAGTTAGCATACTTGCGTTCGCACATCTGTGTCCACTGCTAAACGATCATTACTTGATGATGAAACGACAATCCATGCACATATACATTTATATATATATATATATATATATATTTCAAGAAAACAGCAAAGTTAAAAATAACTTGTGAAGAAAAGGACGCAATAGATACTTTTGACATACTCTCACGACCACAATAGCCTTCCAGATTGAATGGTGGAAACACTTGAAAATCTTATGCTTTCACTTCACTCGAGAACTTTTGATGAAATTTAAAATTCACCAAGTCAAAATTTCAGTCTACCCTTCCGATTTCCCCTAATTTTCACTTATCACTCCCAAAACTACATTTGCACACGTATTTGTGGTGAAATATGTAAGTAAATATAATCAATTCAATTTCTATACAAGATGACGGAAACATAAAAATCCATCAGCATATCATCACGATATAAATGCATCACTTGTACTCACGGTGGACATCAGATTCAGTTGGCTTAGCAGGTGCATGAGTTGGTACTGCAGCTAAAATGTACAAAATTCAAGTATTCATCATCATATTTTTAAGTTAACCTTTGACATGATTCATAAACGTCATGAATTTCAAATGATGTCAACTTGAATTCAATGGAATGATAGTGTAACACAAGTTTGCAATATAGCATATATGTATATATCACTCTTTTACGTTCCAAGTGGAAAACACGGCTTCAATTTAGAACTTTGAAATTTCAGCAGCTCTCAAGATGTTTCCTACTGCACATGGGTTGCCAAACTTACTCTCAACCTTCTCTGTCTTCCTACCTGACAACATACTAGGAAGAGTTAAAGAGTGAGATGATCGGAAATCGAACCTGAACCATGTCCGCTGTTAGCGATGATTCTACCATTGAACCACTGGCATAGATTTCATGAAATTTTATCAGGAATATTGACAAATATGAATCTTCATGAATTATTATTGTGCAGATGAAAACTGCTCAGTCTATTATTTTCTATCTATCTGACCTGGATTTAGTCTCATATCAAGTTGTGAACGCGCAGCCGCTTCTAAGGAATCACTAATGACGGATGAAACGATAATACTCGAAGACATATCGATGTATCAAGAAATTAATAATTCTATCAGAAAGGTTGTATCGCCCTTGTATTAAGAATAACTGTACGCTTGTAAAACGAATTCATGTCCACATGTTACACGCTTACAGAAACTAATTATACACATCCTTGTGGAATATTCACCTTTGTAATACTGAATACTGCTTTTCGTTTGTTACATATTCTGCGTTCACCTCACACTTTTGAAATTCTATTTCGTTAACAATATATCTTTTCAAGTTTGCACTTGTGCTTCTTAATACAACGTTGTTCGTTTTTCAGCGTGTAAAGCGTTGATTTATAGTAGAACGTGAAAACTTGGTTGTAGTGTAGTATCATAATCAAATTCATAATAAGTAAACCATAAGGTCTCAGTAGATAGATACCTTGCATACGCTTTCCCGACCAGCATTCCTCCTCCTATACTGGAAGGCCGAAATCACTTGACAATGTGAAACTTTCAACTTAATTGACTACTTCTAGTGAAATCCCCCGTAGTCAGAATATGAATCGGTAACCTCGTGGTTGCATATCACAAAAAACCCACTCAGTTAAAAATACGTATATCCAAAAGCGACTTAAATCGTACTCTGATGAATATGTGACAGGTCGTCATGTAAAAATGAACTCCAAATACGTTCATGTGAACTCTAAAACCTACGCTGAATGGTGTTGTTGTCTAGAAAGACGAAGAAAGCTTCACAATTAAATCAACCAGCTCAGAGAACACAACTAATTCAAACTCTGTGATTTCCCATCCACACAAAATTTAATGTTATTATAATTTTTCAAGAGAATGGATACTGAACAAAGAGTACTCTTTTCAACAACTACATCATCACGCTCTACAGTTATATATATATTATAGTGAATGAATGAATTAGTGTTATGAACAACATTAATGTTGTTTAAATAACATCGAATCAATGATATTGATAGATTACAGCTCAGTAGCATCAACAGTCGATAAACATTGGCATCCGTACTGAAATCCTAAAAGAATTGTTATTAAGATGTACCATGAATGTAAACTTCAAATTTGACGGTACCCTTTACAAGCGGTCGGTCGGTCGGTAGACGGGGTGGCGATGGGCTCCCCATTGGGTCCCATTCTGGCTGATTTCTTTCTAAGTAAGCTAGAAAATGGGCCTTTGAACAACCTTATCAGTAAGCTCTCATTTTATTGCCGATATATGGATCATACCTTTATTCTTTGTGATAATGGTTCTGATAGGAGTACAATAATTACTGAATTCAATGAAGTTCATTCGGCTATGAAGTTCACATGCGAAGAGGAATCCCAAGACAGAATTACCTTCCTGGATGTCCTACTTACAAGGAAACCAGGTGGTAGCATAATAAGGAATTTGCATAGAAAAAGTACTTGGACAAGACTATACACATTTTCACAGCTTCCTTCTTCTCAAGTACAAAAGAAATTTAGCAAAGACCCTCAGCCACAGAGTTAGAGCTTTATGTTCAGAAGAAGTAATTGAAGGTGAATTAAGCATTGTATATGATACTTTGATCGAAAATAGCTATCCTGGCAAATTTACCAAGAAACATATGACAAAGAAAGCGGAAAATGACTACTCAATATCCATAAACAAGAAGCCTCTTTATATACGACTGCAATTCAAGGACGATATACCAAGTGAGATAATTACGAAGAAACTAAGAAAATCAGTTCAAAGCACTTTTATTACTGGCAAAATACACGTATTATTCTCTACACGATCGATGTTACATCGACTGAAAGATGAAGTACCTAGACTAGCCACTTCATATTGTATTTACCAGTTCAACTGCGCTTCAGGTGGAGCGAGTTATATCGGCCGTTGCTATAGGAACTTGATCTTTTGTGCTCGAGAACATCTCTCACTGTGGCTAAGTAAAGGTGTAGCGAAAGCCACCAACAGATCCATATTGGACCATCTTGTGCAAACCGGCCACAAAGCCAGTGTGGAAGAATCCTTCTCTATAATGTACCGGGTGCCTAATAAATTACCAAAATCATCGAAGCACCACATGCTTCAAACAGCAGAGGCTATTACAATTCGCCTCAAAAAACCAGTGCTCTGTGCTCAAAAGAAGCAAGTCCAGCCCCTACTACTGCCCTGACTGGTCTTCAGGAGAGACTATAAATTCATGAAGTTGTAATACTATCTTTCTTAATTTTTCTGATATTCAGCTTATTTTATGTTGATGCTACTGAGCTGTAATCTATCAATATCATTGATTCGATGTTATTTAAACAACATTAATGTTGTTCATAACACTAATTCATTCATTCACTATAATATATATATAACTGTAGAGCGTGATGATGTAGTTGTTGAAAAGAGTACTCTTTGTTCAGTATCCATTCTCTTGAAAAATTATAGTGGCCTTTTTAATCAGTTATTATAATTCCTTTGAGTTCCAAATGGAACAAAGGACACCACCAGCTCAAAGCTATTTCAACCAGTTCCGTGGGTAAACTTTAATACAAATTCACAATATCAAAGCGGAATAATCTTCCTGATGTTGAGTGAAGTAGGGTTCCATTCATATTTTCACCTCAAAGTAGGTCAAAATTACAATTACGATGCCATCACCTTCGATAAAAGGAAAACGTGCCATAAACATATTCATAAACTGTATACATGTAAAAATATTCGCTGTGATATATACACCAAAAACAATCGAAGTCAGATATATGTCTACGCCAATGCAGTATTCTTGTAATATAATTGCTAGGAATTAACTCGATATAAATTTATAACATGAACTCACGGTGAACATGAGGTCCTGTTGGCTTAGCCGGAGCAGCTGTTGGTGCAGCAGCTGAAATATATAGACAGTTCAAGTATTTATCACTATAAGGTTTGATTGTTTCTTCCATCTCTTTCTTATTGACTGTGAGCTAGGATATTTTCAGGTATGATTCTTTCGATAGGTGAGCCAGGATCATGTCCGTCATTGGCGAGGTTTATACTACTGAACCGCCGAAAAGCATTTCATAGAATTTTATCAGGAATATTGATGACTGTGAAGCTTCATGACTTATTATAGAAGTCCAAACTGTATAGACTATTGTTTTCTTCCAGACTTGGATTCAGACTCTTATCAAGCTGTTAGCTTATGAGAGTTAGCATGCTTGTTTTCGCACATCAGTGTCCACTTCTAAAGCGTTATCAATGGACGATGAAACAAACGTCCACGTCTATGAACATATTTCTTACAAGAAAACAACATTATTATTGTTTAATATTATTCCTTTGGGTTCTGTGTCGAACATATGGTTTCAACAACACATTTCTACTTTGTTCTGTTCTCTGACCTCCTCTTACGCTGTTTCCAGGATTGCACAAAATCCGTCATCTCTTATTCTCACTATCTCCTCCATGTCACCCTAGGAAGACCCACTCGTTGCTTTTCCTTGGGACTGCACTAGAGCAATGGCATGGCGCGCGATGTCATTCGACTGACTCCTCAAGAAAACAAAAAAAGTAGAAAAAACTTTTGACCGAAAGGACTCAGTAGATGCTTTCAGTATGCTCTCCCAACCACAACAGCCTACTTAATCGAATGGTAGAATCACTCGAAAATGCTACCTGTCCACTTTATTTGTAAAATTGTGATGAAATTCACACTTCACCTAGTAAAAACTTAAGTTCAACCTTCCCAATTACCCGTAATTTTCAATTATCATTTTCAAAAGCAAATCTGGTGAGATGTGTAAAGAAATATTATCAACGCCCGAAATGTTTCTACACCATTGCAGTGCTCTTGTACTACTGTGGTGAGAGCTGTCTACTAGCCAAAATGGTAGACAGTAATTTGCGTCAATGTTTACGTTCTCAAGATTTGTCGTGAGAAAATATGAACAAAGAATGATTCAAAACCGACCACAGCAGACTTTGCGTAGGCGGATACAGTTAACATATAGATGATCTGACATTCGAGAAACAGTCCCAAAGTGAGAAACAACTAATAAGAAGACTGTGTTTGTTTGCTTAACTAATCTATAATAATGTACATGAAAATATATAAATAGCCTTTGATTTCCTTAATAAACGATCTGTTGCCTGGCCCTTGTCTTCTGTTGTTACACTACATTTCTACACAACAGAATGAAAACATTAAGATATATCAGTATATTAACACGATTTAAATGCATCACTTGTACTCACGGTGGACATCAGATTCAGTTGGCTTAGCAGGTGCATGAGTTGGGACGCCAGCTGAAATATGCACAATCCAAATATTTATCATCATATGTCAAAATCCACAATTTAAATCATACATAAACTATGTGAACATTGATGAGATTAGATGGTTGGAGGTCAATCGCCAGCCCGAATAGCTGCTCAGTGGTAACGTCTCTGACTGCAGTACTCACTCGGTGACGCGGATTCGCATCCCAAACGGGTGGGACATGAGTTCTTTCAAGTTGGTTGCAGATACGACTTGCTCACCGGTGAGTATCAACTAGCACGAAAACAAGGTCGAAGTCTGGGTTTCCTGATGATTGCCTTCAACCATCTAATATCATCAAATCAATGTGCACCGTGATGGTGAGCCACCTAGTGGCATGGTGGCCACATTGCAAACCTCACTGATAGAATTCAGTCCACACCAAAGAGAGGACCAGACACATCACACTAGTTGCTGACTAGCGTCCAATCAAATTATATGCACTTCAAATGAAAGAAACTTGAATTTAGTAGAAGGATAATGGAAATGTCATTTAGTTGTGCAATTTTATTCATTTTCAATTGCAGTAAATCATACATATTATATGTATATCATTTCTCTGTGTTTCGAGTACAGCACAAGCATTCAACCATTTACCTTCACAGTTTCAGCACCGTATTTGTCGATTTAACATGTTGGACGGGCTAGTCTCATATCCAGGAAATTCTCTCTCCCCGTTTCATCACAAGTTAGGTGAATTTTATCTGTGTATCTTAGGGGAATTCAACCGAGAACTCCAGCTTGATAATCACGCATTCTACGACTGAACTGTCAACGAACATGTCGACAAGCATAGATTAGAAAATCAATGCTCCAGTATCACATCGCCATTTCACTCTACTATGAGCATTTATGTAGATCTCCCTCCACCGTTCCAAATCCAAATCTACTTCCTTTTGCTCAGTGGAGCAGATTTACACACTGATTTGAGATCAGTCTATCTATGCATTGCTTTAACGATCCTATCTTCTCCATTTCACACTTTATGCAGTATAATCACACTCTCAAATGTTTTTTATAATTATGCTTCTGATAAGATGTGTACAGAAAAATACTCATTGTTTGAAATGTATCCAAACCAATGCAGTTTCCCTGTACTCATCCCTATGCATGATCATGAAAACATAGAGATCATACACCATGTTAATCTGACATAAATTTCGCAATATATACTCACGGTGGGCATGAGGTGTACCTGGTTTAACCGGAGCATGAGTTGGTGCTGCAGCTGAAATATACACAATTCCAATATTTATCATCATATGTTATAGTTAACAATTTATATATTAAACATAAACCTAAACTTCAGGGATTCCAAATGAAATCAGTTTGAATTCAGTAGAAGGATGATGGATATGTTATTTAGTTGTGTAATTATATTCGATCAATTTTTGATTGAAATTTATCACTGATATGTAAACTATTATTTCCATTCTAAGCGGATGATAGACCTTCAGGCTTTTATTCTAATGATTTAGTAGCTGTATGGTTTTTTTCCTCTTTCATGGTGGGGTTGCTAATTTACCCCATTGAATAGTAGGTTCACTTGATAATTTTATTCTTTCATTTTGGTTGACAACTTCTATTGAAATACACACACTTCGGCTAGTCAAAACACCAGTCAGAAGCCTCGTAGATGCATATTACAAAGACTATTGATTTAGGAGGCCAAATATCTAAAACGCATTCAATAAAACACATGTATATAGCCCCAAACACTATAATTGTACTCTGGTAAATATGCAACCAGTTCTGATGTAAAAATAGCCTGCATTATTCACCATTCACACATTACTTATTGTCATAATAATAATAAATATTATTATTATTTCCGTGGGTTCCTAGTGGAACTCTGGGATTCAGAAGCGCATAGCTATTTTACTCTGTTCTCTAAACTCACGTTTATCAGACTAAACAATTGTATATTTTGTTTCATTTGCTCCTACCACATTATTCCCCAAGCAACATTTCGAAATTAGCCCAACCTGTTGCTTTCCATTCGGCTTCCACTCAAGGACCTGCTATGTGTGTGATGTTATTCAACAATCTTCTTTAAGTGTTTCTAATCAGTCACCATTTCTTCAGGAATATTTGTTTCGTGATAGGTTCTTGGTCGATTTTCGGCCTTTCATAGTCAAAATTTTCTGGCGCATTTTCACTGGCCGTTTCATGTCAATCATGTGGCGATGATGTCGGTGGCTTAGTGACAGAATACTCACCAACCACATGTGTGGTTGGTGAGTATAACTGATAATTCCTTTCATTCCAAATCGGACATAGGTAACCACCAGCTCAAAGCCATTTCAAACAGTCCTCTGCAGTCACTTCAATCCAAATTCACAATATCAAAGCGGAATAATCTGCCTGATGTTGAGTGAAGTAGGGTTCCATTCATATTTTCACCTCAAATTAGGTCAAAATTACAATTACGATGCCATCACCTTCGATAAAAGGAAAACGTGCCATAAACATATTCATAAACTGTATACATGTAAAAACATTCGCTGTGATATATACACCAAAGACAATCGAAGTCAGATATATGTCTACGCCAATGCAGCATTCTTGTAATGTAATTGATAGGAATTAACTCGATATAAATTTATAACATGAACTCACGGTGAACATGAGGTCCTGTTGGCTTAGCTGGAGCAGCTGTTGGTGCAGCAGCTGAAATATATAGACAGTTCAAGTATTTATCAATATATGAGTTCAATTTAACAGTTCACATTGTTCATCACTGATATGAATTTCAAATGAATTCAGTTTGAAGTCAGAGGAAGAATTGTGACACTATCACATTTCTCCGTGTAATAATATTCATTATTTCTGATTGCACTATATGACGTAATTACATATATATATATATATATACATTTTTGCTTTCCTTCCGAGTGTGATAAGCGTTTGCACGCTTGAGCTTCAAATTTTCAGTGCCTGTGGATTTGACTGTTACGGATTGGTGTTGATTGTTCCTTCCATCTCTTCCTTACTTACTGTGAGCTAGGAAAAGTCCAGGTATGATTCTTTCGATAAGTGAGCCAGGATCATGTCCGTCATTGGCATGGACTAGACTACTGAACCGCAGAAAAGCATTTCATAAAATTTTATCAGGAATATTGACAACTGTGAAGCTTCATGACTTACTGTCCAAGTGAAATCCATACAGACTATTGTGTTCTTCCAGACTTGGATTCAGACTCTTATCAAGCTGTTAGCTTATGAGAGTTAGCATGCTTGTTTTCGCACATCAGTGTCCACTGCTAAAGCATTATCAATGGACGATGAAACAAAAGTCCACGTCTATGAACATATTTCTTTCAAGAAAACAACAGTATTGTTACTATTTATTATTATTCTCTTGGGTACTGTGTGGAACATGGGGTTTCACAAACACATTTCCAATTTCAAGTGTTGGTTTGTAGGGATTTGATTGGTTACAGGATTTTCATCATGAGCTGACATCAGTTAGAGAACCAATGGAAAACCTACCTGGGAGTACTGGACATCCAGCTGTTTCGTCCCACTAGTTTGGGACTCTTCATCAGTACGCACCCACCGCCAGGGTTCGAACCCAGAACCTTCTGGTTATAAGGCTAGCGAGCTCGTATACCATTAAGCCATTGGAACCCGATCCAGTGGCCCAGTGGTATACGAGCTCGCCTTGTAACCAGAAGTTCCTGGGTTCGAATCCTGGTGGGTGCGTAGTGCTGAAGAGTTCCAAACTAGGACGAAACAGTACTCCCAGGTTTTCCAATGGTTCTCTAACTAATGTCAGCTCATGATGGAAATCCTGTAACATTTGCTCTTTGTTCTGTGCTCTGACCTCCTCTGACGCTGAGTCCACGATTGGCCATAATCTCTCATCTCCTCTTCTCGCTATCTCCGCCATGTCACCCTAGGAAGACCCACTCGTCGCTTCCCAGTGGGATTGCACTCGAGCGCCTGGTGCGCGTTGTCATTCGACGGCCTCCTCAAGAAAACAAAATAAGTAGAAAAAACTGTTGACCGAAAGGACTCAGTAGATACTTTCAGTATGCTCTCCCAACCACAATAGCCTACTTAATCGAATGGTAGAATCACTCGAAAATGCTACCTGTCCACTTTATTTGTAAAATTGCGATGAAATTCACACTTCACCTAGTAAAAACTTAAGTTCAACCTTCCCAGTTACCCGTAATTTTCAATTATCATTTTCAAAAGCAAATCTGGTGAGATGTGTAAAGAAATATTATCAACGCCCGAAATGTTTCTACACCATTGCAGTTCTCTTATATTAAATTTCTATACAAGAGAATAAAACATAAAATCTATCATCATTTTAATACGATATAAATGCATCACTTTTACTCACGGTGGACATCAGATTCAGTTGGTTTAGCAGGTGCATGAGTTGGGACGCCAGCTGAAATATACACAATTCAAATATTTATCATCATATATCAAAATCAACAATTTAAATCATACATAAACTATGTGAACATTGATGAGATTAGATGGTTGGAGGCAATCGGTAGGAAGACCAGCCTTAGACCTAGGTTTCGTGCTAGTTGACACTCATCAGTCCTACAGGAGGTCAACCGCGAGTGCGAGTACCTGCTCAGTGGTAACGTCTCTGACTGCAGTACTCACTGGGTGACACCAATTCGAATCTCAGAGGAGTGTGACATGAGTTCCTTCAACTTGGTTACGACTTCCTGACAGGTGAGTACCAACTAGCACGAAACATTGGTTTAAGGCTGGGTTTCCTGATGATTGCCTCCAACCATCTAATATCATCAAATCAATGTGCACTGTGATGGCGAGCCACCTAGTAGCATGGTGGCCACATTGCAAACCTCACTGATAGAATTCAGTCCGCACCAAAGAGAGGACTAGACACATCACACTAGTTGATGACTAGCGTCCAATCAAATTATATGGACTTCAAATGAAAGAAACTTGAATTTAGTAGAAGGATAATGGAAATGTCATTTAGTTGTGCAGTTTTATTCATTTTCAATTGCAGTAAATCATACATATTATATGTATCATTTCTCTGTGTTTCGAGTACAGCACAAGTATTCAACCATTTATCTTCACAGTTTCAGCACCGTGTTTGTCGATTTAACATTTTGGACGGGCTAGTCTCATATCCAGGCAATTCTCTCTCCCGTTCCATCACAAGTTAGGTTAATTTTATCTGTGTATCTCAGGGGAATTTAACCTTGAACTCCAGCTTGATAATCACGCATTCTACGACTGAACTGTCAACGAATATGTCGACAAGCATAGATTAGAAAATCCATGCTCCAGTATCACATCATCATTTCACTCTACTATGAGCATTTATGTGGATCTCCCTCCACCGTTCCAAATGCAAATCTATTTCCTCATGCTCAGTGGAGCAAATGTTTTTTATAATTATGCTTCTGATAAGATGTGTACAAAGAAATAATCAATGGTTGAAATGTATTCAAGCCCATGTGGTTTCCCTATACTCATCCTTTATGTTTGATGACAGAAACATAAAAATCCTTCACCACATTTGATAATATATACTCACGGTGGGCATGAGGTGTAGCTGGTTTAACCGGAGCATGAGTTGGTGCTGCAGCTGAAATAAACACAATTCAAATATTTTCATTGAATGTTAAAGTTAATACTTGACATTATTCATAAACATCATGAATTTTAAATTAAATCAACTTGAATTCAACAGAAGGATAGGGAAAATGTCATTTAGTTGTGCAATTTTATTCCTTATCAATTGCAATAAATCATACATATTATATGTATCATTTCTCTGTGTTCCGAATGCAGCACAAGCATTCAACCATTTACCTTCACAGCTTCAGTAGCGTATTTGTCGATTTAACATGGTGGACGGGCCAGTTTCACTTCTAGGCAATTTTCTCTTCCCGTCTCATCATAGGTTAGGTGAATTTTAGCAGTGTATCGTCTCCCAATAGAATCGAGAACTCTAGCTTGACCGTCGAGCTTTTTAGGACTCGACCACCCACGAACATGTCGGCAAGCATAGATTAGAAAATCCATGCTCTGATATCAAATCGCGATTTCACTCTACTATGAACATTTACGCATATCTCCCTCTACCACAGAAAATCCAAATCTACTTCCTCATGCTAAGTGAAGCAAATATACACACCCATTTTAGATTAGTCTATGTATGCATTGCTTTTCCGATCATTTCTTCCCCATCTCGCATTTCATGCAATATAATCACACGCTCAAATGTTTTTTATAATTATACTGCTGATAAGATGTGTACAGAAAAATAATCAGTAGTTGAAATGTATCCAAACCAATGCAGTTTCCCTGTACTCATCCCTATGCATGATCATGAAAACATTGAGATCATTCACCATGTTAATCTGACATAAATTTCGCAATATATATACTCACGGTGGGCATGAGGTGCAGCTGGTTTAACCGGAGCATGAGTTGGTGCTGCAGCTGAAATAAACACAATTCAAGTATTTTCATTGAATGTTAAGGTTAATACTTGACAATATTCACAAAAACGTTATGAATTCAATAGAATTATAAAACATACATGATTCCATTTCATTCTGGCTGGAACAAACAGCTTCAATCAGTTAGGTTTCCATTGTCTGTGTGTGTGTGTTTGTGTTTCCATAGGAACACAGGGCTTCAAGCTTTAGACTTTAAAGTTTCACTAGCGACATTTTTGATTTTACATAGTGGATATCTTAGCCTTAAATCGAACCATTCTCTGCTGGCCTTATTACAGATCAGGTGATTTTTAAGATTTCGTCGTCTGAGAATCCAACCAAGAACTCGGGCGTGGAAGTTATGCATTGTAGATTTGAACCACAGACGAACAAGTCGACAAGCATAGATTTTCCAAATGTGTATGTAGGAATCTTTAAATAATCTAGACAATTCACTTCGCTTGACAACATCTAGTGAATGAAATTCATCCTCTATCTAGTCAAAAATTTAGTCAGTAGGCTGATAGACGAATATTAAAAAGAGCACTCAGTTAAACAAACATAAATCCAGAAGAAATATACATCGAAATTTAATGAGAATATAACCAGTTTTCATGCAAAAATAACCTCCATTATTTCCCATTCATATATTATTCATTAATAATGTTATCGCCTAGGATTCAGAGTGGAACATCAGGTTTCAGAAGCACTTTGACATTTCCAAAACAGTATATGTGATACAGAATGGAATTCTCAGCATTTTTACTAGAGTATTGCATCCAGTTAGTACATTATCAATAAATAGAATTCTACATAGATTAAGGAAATCTCAGTTCATTATGACAACAACACATTGGCATATCGGTAGCAAAGGAAAGCTGAAACAGTGTTTGAAGGTGTTAGAAAAGTGGGAGCTGTCATATTTACTGGCGTAAGCGAGAGAAAGAAACAAAGCAGCACATAACGGAGAAAAAAAGAGAGAGAAAAGGAAAAGAAAGAAAGAAAAATGTTGTACCTATAAATGATGTGAGTTGGAAAGACGAGATCCAGTTGTACTACTGACTATTTAATGAATTATAGGCGTGACACCTATAATTCATTAAATAGTCAGTAGTACAACTGGATCTCGTCTTTCCAACTCACATCATTTATAGGTACAACATTTTCTTTCTTTCTTTTCCTCTTCTCTCTCTCTTTTTTCTTTTTTTCCGTTATGTGCTGCTTTCTTTCTTTCTCTCGCTAACACCAGTTAATAAGACAGCTCCCACTTTTCTAACACCTTCAAACACTGTTTCAGCTTTCCTTTGCTACCGATATGCCAATGTGTTGTTGTCATAATGAACTGAGATTTCCTTAATCTATGTAGAATTCTATTTATTGATAATGTACTAACTGGATGCAATACTCTAGTAAAAATGCTGAGAATTCCATTCTGTATCACATATACTGTTTTGGAATAAAGCAAATTATTATTATTTCACTATGTGCTGTGAATTCAGTATGAAATGTTTTCACCTCATTACAGGGTTCTTATACCAATTTCTATCTCTGATGATAGGAACATAGAAAAATCAAAACAAGTGATTCAACGAAGAGTCACTTTTCAACGAATTTATCATCAATCTGAATAATCATATATACACTTTTTTTCCAAAACTGTGCAAATAAAACTATCCCAAGTGATTAAGAAGAGGTGAACGTGGGACTATAAACAGTGCAATAATTGAACATATAGTCTATACAAGTCACCTTATTTCTACAACCTCTTCCTTCCTTCAAAGTTATCTACAAGGAGAAACATAACTTCCTCAAATCATTAAGTATCCGACTCATCTGTGCTACTGAAGCTTTGGCCATCAAAATAGAAAAGCCAGATCTTCGTATGCAGAAAACGTTTGTTTGTCACCTCTAACTCTCATGGTCTTAATCCGTCTTTGCTGAAGTATGATATGTCCCATTCATACTTTGACCCTATTCATTATTCGTTTTGCTTACTCAATTTGTATATCCTTCCCACACACCCCGCGCCCGCTTATTATTATGTTGATTGTTACTATTATCTTCACTTTGAGCTACTTCCGGCACTATCCAACTTGTCACCTTTGTTTTTTTTTCGATTCAGTCTTGTCATAATTATCACCTTGCTGCGTAATATTTTAAATGCTTAGTAATCTTATTATCTCTACATCGCCTAATTTGAGATTTACACATTTTCTATAGTTTGGTTTGTGAGGGTAAGTTATCTTTTTAATAGTTGATCACAGACTGATATCAGTTAGAGAACCATTGAAAACCAGGGAGTACTGGACAGCTGCTGTTTCATCCTAGTTTGGGAATCATCACCAGTACGCACCCACTGGGGTTCGAAACCAGGACCTTCCGGTTACAAGGCGAGCTTCGTATACCATTCAGCCACTGGGACCCGGTTCAATGGCCAGTGCATGAAGTCTAACTTCTACCGATTCGTGATTTAGCGCGACCCCAACCATTGTCATTGGTGGGACATCCATCCACACACGTGACATCTAATTGGACCTCACTGGTCACGACTTCTCACTAGAACTCCACGAAACTCCATCCTGTAGCAAGTAGCATCAGATTAATTTTCTATAGTTTGGTTTGTAAGGGTTAGTTATGTTTTACGAGTTGATCACGGATTGATATCAGTTAGAGAACTATTTCCTGAACTACTTTATATATAAGTGCGTAAAAAGTTTTTTCTCAAATTTCATATTATTATAAAAACGACCGTAGAACCTGGTGGTTAACTCGTTGAAAAGAGAAACTTCGTTAAATCCCTCATTTTGATAACATATATATAAACATAAAGATCCGTTATTGTAAGTGTAGAAATTAGGCACTGTGGTGGAATACAATACCATATTATACGAGTTTGACCACGGATTGATATCAATTAAAGAAGCATTGGAAACCAGGGAGTACTGGACAGCTTTTTCATCCAGTACTTCCTGGTTTCCAATGCTTCCTTAATTGATATCAATCTGTGGTCACACTCGTATAAACTTATCTGATCCTTACAAACGAAACTCTTGAAAATACCATATTAGATAAGTTTGTTTTGATGATATGATTATGAGTGACAAAACAATTGACCCCGGAAATAGATGTCCAACATCATCTATAGCGAAGCACATTATAGAGACGGGTCATAAGGTTGATTTCAACAATACATTTAAGCTCATATATAAAACGAGGTTGGGCCACATACTTAAATTCACTGAAGCCTTAGCCATAAAAAGATTTAAACCTGCCTATGTGTCCAAAAGTTATTTGTTATTACCTTAAACCTGCCTTGGTGATCCAATTTAGAACCAAGGACCAATTTACTTGACATTTTCAACTCCTTCTTTGCTTTGATTTTCTCTTCTTATCTTTCTTATCTTTCTTCCCTACTCATTATTTGCGACCTTAACCTGTACATAATCTGACCTGTATTGTAATTATTCATGCCTTCTTGCCTTCTATAAAAACTGTGTATGACAAGTTCGTGTGTGTGATCAGAATGTCCGAAATGTGTTGCGCCAATACATTACGCGTTTCAGATAAACTACGTCTTCTTATTGTGTTGACAAAACTGGGCTGAATACCGAGTCAAAGTGTGTTACTTCAGTCGAACTCATCCACTACTGCATTAAAGATTCTTCATCATATGAACATGATATAAATGCATCACTTGTACTCACGGTGGACATCAGATTCAGTTGGTTTAGCAGGTGCATGAGTTGGGACGGCAGCTGAAATATACACAATTCAAGTTTCTATCATCATATGTTGAAGTTGACAATTTATAGTGTTCACAAACTACACGGATTTGAAATGAAATCAAGTTCATATGATCAAAACACTTGTGGTTATACTCTTCAATTGTGTAAATTTAAATTAATAATTTATATATATATATATACCTCAACTTTATAAACTTTGAGAAGGCCTTTGACAGCGTTGACCGCGAAGTAATTTGGAAACTACTCGAGTACTACGGCGTAGCCCAAATATTCATCAACCTTATTCAACAGCTGTACGACAACGGCACATGTCAAGTGATCCAAAACGGAAAACTCAGCGAGGCGTTTGGAGTAAATACAGGAGTCAGACAAGGGTGCTTATTATCACCAATGATATTCCTAATTGTGGTGGACTGGATTATGCGTCAGACAGTGGGAAACGAGAAGACAGGGATATCCTGTACCGACGTGAAGAACCTAGAAGACCTGGATTTCGCGCGTGGATGATTTATGTTTGATGTCACACAAAATCGAAGACTTACAAGCAAAAACCGACAAACTGGTCGAAGAAGCAGCAAAGACAGGACTCCAGGTGAACATAGACAAGACGGAGGTTATGAAAATAACCAACCAACAACAACAACAGCAGCAGCAACATCCAGCGCTAATCACCATCAACGGGAGGGATTTGAAAGAGGTTACTTCATTCACTTATCTAGGGAGCATTGTCTCAACTACAGGAGGAACGGACGAAGATGTCAAATCGAGAATCGGGAAGGCGAGAAACACATTCATCAACCTGAAACCAATCTGGAAATCTTCGTCACTCAGCATCAACAACAAAATTCGGATTTTCAATACAAACGTCAAGTCAGTCAGCTCTTCTATACGGATCAGAAACTTGGCGGGTCACAAAGAATATTTCCAACAGCCTGTTGCAGACCTTTATCAACAACTGTCTTCGCTCTATACTGAAGATCAGATGGCCGGAAAGAATCACCAACAAGAAACTATGGGAACAAACAAAACAAGAACCAATCGCTCAACAAATATGCAGGAGAAAGTGGAGATGGATTGGACACTCGCTGAGGAGGCCGCTGGGTGACATCGCGCGTCAGGTCAGTGCTCGAGTGGAACCCGAAAGGGAAGCGGCGAGTGGGACGTCCAAGGGTGACATGGAGGAGATAATGTGAAGAAGAGTTGAAACAGTATGGACTAACATGGATGCAAGTGAAAAGTACAGCAGAAGACAGAAGCAAGTGGAGACGTGCAGTTGAAGCCCTATGTTCCACTAGGAACCCAAGGGAACAATAATAATATATATGCCATTTATTTGCGTTCTGAATTGAACGTAAGGTGTCAAGCTTTCGGTGTTGTAGACTTTGTACCACATTACTTAATTTTATGTGGTTAACAGGTCAATTTTCTGACCAATATACTTTTCCGGTCTTATTCCATACCAGTTGATTTCCAGTAGTGCATTGTTTTCGAATCGAATCGAGAACTCTAGCTTGATTGTCGAGTATTTCAGGACTGAACCGACGACAAATATGCAGATAAGCATAGATTAGGAAATCTATGATCCGCTAGCACATAGCCATTTCTTTCTGCTCCATGAATTTATGTAAATCTCCCTCTACGACTGAAAATCTAAACCTATTTCTTCATGCTGAGTGAAACAGATTTACACAGTGATTTCAGATTATTGTACATACCCATTCCTATTCCGATCTTCTAAACCTGACTTTGCATATTATGCAAATTAATCACATTGTCAAATATTATTATAAACATATTCTTTTTACGAGTTTGACCATGGATTGATATCAGTTACAGAACCATTGAAAATCAGCACTGAAGTACTGGACAGCAGTATACACCCACTGCCAGGGTTCGAACCCAACCACAGAAAATTAATGTGATGCTCGCTAGTGACTTCCTACAGGATAGAGTTTTCTGGAGGTCTAGTGAAAAGTCGTGACTAATGCGGTCCACCCAGTCAAGTGTGAGGATGGATGTCCCACCGACGACATTGGTTTGGGTAGCGCTAAAATCACGAAAAGGTAGAAGTTAGATATCATGGACTGGCCACTGAATCGGGTCCCAGTGGCTGGATGGTATACGAGCTAGCTTGCCTTGTAACCGGGAGGTACTGGATTCTAACTTTATGTGGTGGGTGCGTACTGGCGATGATTCCCAAACTAGTGGGATGAAACAACTGGCTGTCCAGTACTCTTTGTGGCTAATTTTCAATAGTTCTCTAACTGATATCAATCCGTGGTCAAACTCGTAAATAAAAACAAATCTAATCCTTACAAATCAACTCTTGAGGATAAACATATTCTTTGTAAAATCTATACAACAAATAATATTCAAAGGCTGAAATGTGTCTACGTTAAAGCACTTTCCGTATAATAATGTTCATACATAATGATACAAATATAAAGAACATTCATCATGTTAACTGGACATGAGTTTATAATATGTACTCACGGTGGGCATGAGGTGCAGTTGGTTTAACTGGAGCATGAGTTGGTGCTGCAGCTAAAATGTATACAATTCAACTACTTATCATTATGTATTATAGTTAAAAATTTATAGTATTCATAAATGTCATGAATTTCAAATGAAATCAACTCGACAACAGAAGGAAGGATTGTGGCTATTTGATGAAGCTGTGTAATTTTAATTCATTAAATTTCATTATCATATATATTCCATATACATGTACATAAGCTACTTAAATTCCGAGTGAAACATACGGCTTCAAGCTTGAGTTTTCAATTTCCTGAAGCTGTGGAGGTGTTTTTTACGAGGTGGAAACCTAGGCCTTTTACCAAATTTTCCATCTCTTCCTAAGTGACTACAGTCTAAAAGAAGTTTAGGAATGATCCGGCAGGGGGTCAAACCTGAATAGTGTCCGTCACTGGCGATGATTTTACCGCTAAACCACCGACAAGGATTTCATAAAATTTGGCAGGAATATTGACAACTGTGAATCTTCATGACTAATTGTCCAGGTGAAAGTTAATTAGTCTATAATGTTGTTTCTCACTTGGATTCAGTCTCGTATCAAGTTGTGAGTGCGTGTATGTATTTCAGCATGTGTGCATGTGTTCACTGCTAAGGGGTCATTCATTGGGAATGAAACGATAATCCACACAGATATAATGATTTTTCGAGAAATCAGTATAAGCAGAAACTAATTTTGTCGGAATGGACTCTGTGTGTATCTTGAATATACTTATCGCATCAACATAGTTTTTCAAACTGAAGGGTAGAATCACTTTATAATCTGAACATTTCACTCTCACGTAACAACTTCTAGTGAAATTCAGTCTTTATCTAGCTGAGATTTCAGTCTGTAGCCGCTTACAATGATGTTACATAAACTATTCAGTTAAACACACGTGTATCCACAAGAGTCTTTAGTCTGATGAAAATGTAACCAGTCCAAATGTTAAAATAATCTCCATTATTCTACATTTTTCATTTCATCCCTTTGCGTTCCTAGTGGGACATAGGGCTCCAAAATTGAGCTCTGAACTTTCTGTAACAGTAGTACTCATTTTCATGGGGTGAAATCGCTAGCCTAACACCCAAAACTTCCCTCTTTACAGGTTTTAATACCGGCTTTGCCAGGTTTAGGAGCGCGTCCACCGGGGATCGAAACCGAAATCACATGCGTGATTGACAAACATTCTGTCGCTGCACTACCGATACACCTATAGGTGTTATTTATTGTTACCATTTTTATTCCCTTGCGTTCCGAGTGGGATGACATAGATCTTCAACAACTCAACACCATTTCATTCTTATCCCCGCATTCGCTTTAATCTAACTCCACGATATAAAATCGCTGTCTTTTTCCTTATGCTGAAGATAGTAGATTTTTTCAAACTGATTTCAGGTGAAAGAGGACCTATTCTACTTTAATGTTTCTACCATTTCCCCCCACAACCACCTTCACTAGCATAGACAATGCAATAAACATACTATCAAATATTAGATAGATGGAGGCAGTCGGCAGGAAGCCCAGTCTTAGACCTAGGTTTCGTGCTAGTTGATACTTACCAGTCAGCAAGTCGTATCTGCAACCAACTTGAAGAAACTCATGTCCCACTCCTCGAAGATTCGAACCCGCGTCACCCAGTGAGTACTGCAGTCAGAGACGTTACCACTAGTTTCCAATCAAAATACCCACTACTGTCCTACAGGACGTCAATCACGAGTCCGAATAGCTGCTCAGTGGTAACGTCTCTGACTGCAGTACTCACTGGGTGACGCGGGTTCGAATCTTCGAGGAGTGGGACATGAGTTCCTTCAAGTTGGTTGCATAAACGGCTTGCTGACTGGTCAGTACCAACTAGCACGAAACCTAGGTCCCTCAGCAAGGCTTCCTGACAACTGCCTCCAATTATCTAATATCATCAAATCAATGTGCACCGTGATGGCAAGCCAACTAGTGGCATGATGACCACATTCCAAACCTGACTGATAGAATTCAGTCCGCACCAAATCAGAGGACTACACACATCACACTAGTTGCTGACTAGCGTCCAATCAAAATACTGTGAAATATTTTTGTAAATATATATCAGGTGAGATGTGTACAGAAAAATAATCACTGGTTGAAACGTGTCTACGCCAATAAAGTTCCCCTGTATTCATGTTTATGCATGGTAACAGAAATATAACATATAACATAACACAACATATCTTCAAACTAATATAAATTGCTTATATTTACTCACGGTGGACCTTAGGTGCAGAGAGCTTAACAGGAGGATGTTGTGGTGCTGCAGCGGAAATGTACACAGATCAAATATTTATCATTCTATGTTAAAATTAACAATTTATATGATATATAAACCAGACGAGTATCAGTTGAAATCAACTTGGATTCAATAGAAGGATTGTGGCTATATCTCAACTGGCTATGTGACTATAGTTTATTGATTTTCATTAAGATACATCACAGTTGCACATATATATATATATATATTCATGTCCATCCCTTCATTTCTCCGAGAACCTAAGATCTTGAGCTTTGAAGCTTTGGTAGCAGTCGAGTTGTTTCTTACTTGCTGGGAGACTGATAGTCAAAACTTGCTTCTCCTTCTAAGTGACAACAGACTAATAGAGAATTACAAGAAAGTCGGCCGGAAGTTGAATACAAACACCAAATCCATCGGTGGCGATGATTTTAACATTGAAGCATAGACAAAGATTCCATTGAAATTTTATCACGAATACTAATAACTGTGAATTTTCTTGTCTTGTTTTGTCTTGTCCTGTTCAGGCGAATACTTCAAAATCTACTTTATTCTCTCTTATTAATATATGTGTAAAACTTGGGCACTGTGGTAGTAAGTAATTCCATATTAGTTTGTTTATTAGATGTATCACACAGTGATGAAACAGTATTATTTACTGGATGACGAAGTTTCGAACAAAATTTATTGTTCATAATCATTCCATCAATTATAATCACACGACTTCGAAACTTGAGTTTTATAGTTTTCTTTGTTCTCTCCTATTTGTCGTCACAGGGGTAGTAGAATTTTCCAGATATCTGGGGGACAGGTGTTGAATCATTCCTATTACACGTATTTTCAGTTGATTCGATAAACAAAGCTTCTGTTATCAATCTCTCCCTCCACCCTGTGACATTAGATTTTAAAACTGTCATCCTATCCCATCATCCTATTGTATGGTTGTGTGTAACTGCATGTAGTGAGTGGTATAGCTGAACTATTCTCTAGATTTCTTATCTTATTTGGATCAACCAATCTAGATTTTGCTAGGTTTTATGTTCGGCTAGTCTGACTGCCCCTGTTCTACTAGTTTGACCTATGTATTTGACCTGACAATCATTCCAGCAGGGTATTAGATAATCTAAATTGTTTTGTTTTAAAGGCTCCACAGGAATGATCCTTTAACCGACAAAGCTTGTTTCTAATTGAGTTTGTGGGTTTAAATGCCACTTTTATTCCTGCCTTGTTAAGAATTCTGCGTAAGGTTTCCGAGGTTCCTTCCTTGTATGGAATTACTACTGATGATTTAGATTCCTTATTGTTGGTGTCGTCATTAATATTATTATTATCACTATCGCTACTATCATTATTTATTTTATTTTTACATTTCCTTACATATTTCCTGACTAATTTATCAGGGTAATTATTAAGTTTCAAGGCTTCTTTTATGTGTATCACTTCCTGTCTTAGATTTTCCTTGGTGCTACTTAGTTTTTGTGCTCTATTATTCAAACATTTCACCAATCCTATTTTCACTGACATAGGATGGGATGATCGGAAGTCCAAATATCTGTTTGAATGTGTCGGTTTCCTGTAAACACTAGTGTTTAACTTCCCATCTTCTTTCCTTTTTACGTTGCAATCTAACATTGGAAGCTCCCCTTCCTGACTTTCCAATTCATAAGTGAATTGAATTGCCTCTACCTTCGAGTTGATGTGTTCGAAAAATCTATCTATATCTTGTGTTCTAAGTACAGTGAATGTGTCATCTACATACCTCCACCATACTTTTGGGGTCGGGATGAACGTTTCAATCGCTAGCCGAACATAAAAAGCTAGCAGAATCTAGATCGGTTGACCCAAATAAGATAAGAAATCTAGAGAATAGTTCAGCTATACCACTCACTACATGCAGTTACACACAACCACACAATAGGATGATGGGATAGGATGACAGTTTTAAAATCTAATGTCACAGGGTGGAGGGAGAGATTGATAGCAGGAGCTTTGTTCATCGAATCAACTGCAAATACATGTAATAGGAATGATTCAACACCTGTCCACCCAGATATCTGGAAAATTCTACTACCCCTGTGACGACAAATAGGAGAAGACAAAGAAAACTATAAAAGTCAAGTTTCGGAGTCGTGTGATTATAATTGATGACATGATTATGAACAATAAATTTTGTTCGAAACTTCGTCATCCAGTAAATAATACTGTTTCATCACTGTGTGATATATCTAATAAACAAACTAATATGGAATTTATTCTCTCTGACTTTCATCCAGCGTCATACCAATCTGTGAGTACAAGTGTGCGTGTGTGTGTGCGTGCGTCTTTAGTCGCTGCTCAAGAGTCATTAAATTGAGAATGAAACGATTATCCACAGGGATATATTTATTTACCACGAAAATTATTATTATTGTTCTCTTGGGTTCCTAGTGGAACATAGGGCTTCAAATGCACGCCTCCACTTGCTTCTGTCTTCTGCTGTACTTTTCACTTGCATCCATGTTAGTCCATACTCTTTCAACTCCTCGTCACACGATCTCCTCCATGTCAACCGTGGACGTCCCACTCGCCGCTTACCTTTCGGGTTTCATTCATTCAAGGGCCTGAAGTACGATGTCACCCAGCGGCCTCCTCAGCCACGAGTGTCCAATCCATCTACACTTTCTCCTGCATATTTGTTGGGCAATTGGTTCTTGTTTTGTTTGTTCCCATAGTTTCTTGTTGGTGATTCTTTCCGGCCATCTGATTTTGAGTATGGAACGAAGACAGCCATTGATAAAGGTCTGCAACAGGCTGTTGGAAATATTCTTTGTGACCCGCCAAGTTTCTGATCCGTATAGAAGAACTGACTTGACGTTTGCATTGAAAATCCGAATGTTGTTGTTGATGCAGGCTGAGTGACGAAGATTTCCAGATTGGTTTCAGGTTGAACCAAGAAAATAGACTAAGTATAATCAAGTTGTTTTATGTATAGACCCTGTATTCATCCACCGATCTTAATAAATAATGACAAAATATTGAATATCCTTTAACAAATAATATATCAAACAAATTTACAAATATGCACTCACGTCTTACTAAAGGTTTATTTTTCCTAACCAGTGCATTTGCTGATCCTACAGCTGAAATGTATATAATTCAAGCATTTATCGTACTGTTAAATTTAATACTTCACATTACTCATGAAACCGTTTGAATTTTATAGAAATAAAGATAGGGATATATGATTCCTTCACCTTCCGAATGGAACACTGGGCTTCAAGCTTCAATGTTGAAGTTACAGTCGTTGTGGAAATGTTTCTTACGGTGTGGGGTCGACAGCCTAACGTCCAAACCTTCCCTTTCTTCCTTAGTGACTATGGACTAGGAGATGTTTAAGAGGAAGTCTGCTGGGAATCGAACTTGGACCACATCCGTCGGTGGTGATGATTTTACTACTGCGGTGGTCCAGTATTTCGATAATATCTTATCAGGAATACTCACCAGTTTGGATCTTATTTTACAAGTGGGAGCCACGTATTATCTTCTCTATGACATGGTTCCAGTCCAGAATCAAGTTTTAATCGCATGTGGGCGAGCGTGCTTGTGAGCCCGCATCTGCGTTCGCTGCTATGTAGTAACTAAGCAGTAAGATGAAGTGGAAATCCACACGGATATATTGATTTTTCGAGAAATAGCAATAATTATACACTATCTTTCCTGGAAGGATGTTTTAGATTACTTAAAAATATATATTCCTGACCAGTGTTCAATTTTTTTCTCCATTGCGTTACATATGGAACAAACTCCCTCTATATTTTCACCCTTTGAAATTTGTGCTGTGCTTCTTTTCTCTTCCCGGGGTGGTTAATCTATCCCCACATTTATCAGAGTCTTACTCTAGACTAGGTAATGATTAACAGTGCGTCGTCCTTGGATACGGAGAATTCTACACCTGAACCAACGAAGAAGACGCCGACCAACCCCAGTATTTCTAAGTTAATGGTAAAATTACGCGATAATCTGAACCTATCACTTTACTTGACAACTTCGGGTGAATTCGGTCAATAGCTTCGTGGCTTCATATTACGAAAAGCATTCAATCAAAAACATGTATAGCCAGAAAGAACACAGATTGTGCTCCGATGAAAACGTAACCATTCTTGGCATAAAAATTACCCCAATTATTCTTTATTCATTGTTATTACTGATATTACCCTGGTTTCCTAGTGGAACGTAGGGCTTCAGAAGCACATCGCCGTTTCATACTTTTCTCTGGAGTCATTTTTATTTGGCTCCACAACTGTCTTTGATCTTTCAACTCCTGTTAAACCACATCCTCCATGTCAATCTCGGAGTCACTTCCAACTCGACATTTCCCATTTGGGTTCCACTTGAAGGCCTCTCCTATATCTCATGTCCCTCAACTGTCTCCTCAGCTTCTTTCTAATTCATCTTCATTTCCTTCGAAATATTTGTTGGACGATATGTCATTGGTTGGTGTTTTGCCTCAGAGAGTTCCTTGTTTCTATTCCCTTCTCATTAGTGATAGCATCTCCAGTATGCAACTAAGGCAGCTATCCATGAAAATCTACAGAAGCCTGTTGGAAATAATTTTCATGAAGCGCGCGCCAAATCTGTAGATACTATATGAGCACTAATTTGACATTAAACTTCGTGCGTTTGTGGCACAGCGGTAGAATGCTCGCCAGCCACGCAAGTGATCCAGGCTCAAACCCCGGCCGACGCAATCCTACACCTCGCTAAGCCAGTAATAAGACTGGCAAAGACAGAAGGTTGCGCATGAGGCTAGCAACCCCATACCGTAAAAATTAACACCACTGCTACCAAAACTTCAAACCTGTAGCTTGAAGCCGCCCTATGTTCCACTGGGAACGTAAAGGGATCAAAAAAAATCACTCACCTTGCACTAAAGCCCTAGTTTTCTTGGCTGGTGCATGCCCTGGTCCTGGGGCTGAAATGTATACAATTCGAGCATTTATCATACTGTGAAATGTAATACTTTACATTAATCATTGAAACACACAAATTTTGAATGAAATCAATTTGAAATAAATAGGATTGAAATGCATCCATTACTGAATTGCATTCAGCATGAAAAAAAGGGTTTCAAGCTCCAGTGTTGAAGTTTCTTATGGATGAGGTTGATAGTTTTATACTCAGCCTTCCATCTCTTCCTAAGTGACTACAGTCTGGAAGATGTTTAACAGTAAGTCGGCCGGAAATCGAAGTCGAACCACATCAGTAATTCACAATATTCTGCCACTGAGCCACTGATAAATACTTCATAATATCCCCTCAGGAACATTCATTAGTCTAAAGTTTGCATGTGAAAGCCATACATATTATCTTCCCTCCGACTTGGTTTCAGTCTCGTATCAAGTTGTGAGTGCGTGTGGGCGCGCATACTTGTGCACAGTGTAAGCAGAAACTACTTTTTTCATGATGTGTTCTATAGATACTTTAAATAACCATTCCCGACCAGCATCAGTTTTCCCTCCTTTGTGTTACATATGAAACTAGAAAAACTTGAAAAGTCATCAGCCATAGGTCTACACGCTATAGAATCAGGCCACAAAATCGATTTTGACAATATTGAAATAATCCAGAAAAAATTCAGAAATCACAAAGAACGTCTAATATCAGAAGCACTGCATTTCAAGTGGAATCTAAATTCCCTGATTAGGAATGATGGACTAAAACAGAATCTGACCTGGTTACAACACCTCCCTCCCCCATGAAGTGACAAAATCAACACGAATGTAATAAGCAGGTTCACTATGTAAACACACACTTCTTTTATAATTTTACACACTTATCAAATCCAACATTCTACACTTGATTTTGATATCTTTGCCAACTGACCAACTTGACAACGAAAAATGACCCCAGACTGACGAACGATGATCAAGTTAGTAAACTTTGTTTTGATATCATAACAGACGTGCTATTGCCTTTGTTATTTGGTTTAGTGACCTTCATTGTTATTTTGACTTTCAGTATGTCCCTTTAACTTGACCTAAATCTATTTTCTCACCCCTTAACTCTTTGTTATATATATGCTGAGATTTTGTAAATTCCGGTTTAATAATACTTTGATAAAGCTATTAGCATTAAGTAGCGAAACGTCAGGAAAAACAATATCGATTTGTTTTTCATTCATTGGGAAATACAAAAACCTTTATTATAAGGAATACGACTCTTATCTTTACTGTCTGAAATTTCAGTAGTGCTTCTTTTGTTTCTAAGAGGTGAGTCTTCTAGCATTCCTCCCAAATTTGCATCTATTAGAGGCTTACTACAGGCTAGATGATGATAAATAGGGTGTCATCCTTGGCTACAGAGAATTCTACACCAGAACCGTCGAAGAACACATTGACTAGCACAGGAATCCTATCTGAATGGCAAAATCACTCAACACTGGGATCCTTTCACTTTAATTGTCAACTCCTGGTGAATTCCATCCATTACATGGTCAGATCTTCAGTAAGTAGTTTCGTGAAACGCATATTACGAAAAGCATTCAATAAAGCATATGTATATCCAGAAGAAATTTATATATGGTATATCGTGTGCTACTGATAAGGTTTGTCAGTAGTGTATAAAGAGACCTTCATTGGCATAAAAATATATCAAATAGTAGGAAGATAGATTTGACGTCAGAGAAAGCAAATGATACAGCCTTGTGGAGATACATAGAAGACATGAAAGGAGCACAAAGAAACTCAATATGAAGGTTAGAAGCAGTGGAACAGGCGAGATCTGTGCAAATGGTGATTTTGAAAATAAGGTCTACATAATTTAGCCATATAGAGATACCGAATTGCAAATAAACATTCCTTCACCATATCTCTCATCTTCTATCATTACCATAGTACTCTGATGAGAATGTAACTATCTTTGATGTAGCAATAACCTCCCTTATTCCCCCTCATATATTACTTATTACCATTATCCCCACCGGCGTCCTAATTACTAACCTACCGCTGGTATCACTACAGTCATCAAGTAGCAATTGCAATGAATGACAATGGAATAGTGAATATGCTTTATCATTATAATATGAAACAAATTTACAAATATCCACTCACCTTTCAATAAAGGTTTATTTTTCTTAACCGGTGCATTTGTTGATCCTACAGTTGAAAGGTGTACAACACAGGCATTCATTACACTGTTAAGCTGATTACTTTCCATTATTCATTTAAAAACACATACATTTCAAATGAAATCAAATTTGAATTAAATAGCATTCAAAGATATCTATAGGTCATTCGACGTCGCTGTGCGTGGAACATACGTCTTCATGCTTGTGCCCTTGAGTTTCAATCGCTTTGGTGCCTAACTTTTCTTTCAGACTGAGACTAATTTCAATAAAGAAGTGTAATCTGTGGAAAAAGGTCATTTTCTTCTTTCTTTGGTGTAACTATAGCCAATAATGACTGTGTTCAGACTTTGATTTCCGACCTATTCACTGCTGAAAGTCGCTTAGCCAGGTTTAAACCCGCTTAAATGAAACTCAACTGCATATACAATAATACAACACCATTGCTATGGAAACTTCAAGACTTGAAGTCCTATGTTCCACTCGTAACACATTAGGATAGATAATAAAAAGGACTGAATGAAATGTAATTTGTGTTTTGGAATATTCCTGTATTTCTGTAGACACCTTGAAGTTAAACAATATATAGGTTTATCCGGTTTCATCGAAAGGTTATGTCAACTATGAGCTTAGTCATACAACTTGTGTAATTTCAGATTTCCAAATGAAAAAAAACTATCTTCTTTGAGTTCGGTAGATATGTCAAGTTCATTCTATTTGAACATGAACAAAGCACAGATCATTTTGTAGATTTCTTTCAGATTTCTGACTGGTTCACTTTAGTAATATTTATTGTAACGGGATATTCTTCATTCCCCTCTGCCTCCCCCCATCCCCAGTTATCTCAGTGAAGATAGAAATCACATACAAAGGACTTCATTTTTCCTGTATTCAAAACTTGAAATAATAAGCTCTGACAGGTGTTACTACCGTTCTCCTATTCGTAATTATCTTTGACTTACTAAAAGTAAAATTAAATGAGGCAAATTAAGGTATTTTATAGCTGTACATCACTATGAACCCTCTGTAAAGAGCTATACTTCAGTCCACTATCAAACGTCTACTCTCATACTAATGATAATGTATGTGTGGCTACTTTATAAGAATTATTAAGGATTGATGTGAGTTAGAGAACCATTGAAAACTAGGGAGTACTGGATGGCTGATTTGTCCTAGTTTTTGACTCTTCAGCAGCACAGTACACACCCATGACCCCATAGGGGATCGAAACTAGGACCTTCAATTTACAAGTTCTAATGCACTTCTAGTAAGAAATTGTGATCAGGGGGGTCCATCAGATCGTGTATGAAGACGAATACTCTCAGATGACATTGGCTGGTGGTTGTGCTAAATACCGCGAATTGATAGAAGTTAGAATTCGTGGGCTATCTGTCGACTAGCTCTCCTCGTAACCTAAAGTTCCTGAGTCTGATCACGTTTACCGCTGAAGAGTCCCAAACAGGGAAGAAACCGCTATCCAGTACTCTCTGGTTCTCCAGTGGTCCTCTTACTAATCTCACTTGGTGATCTAACTCTTCAAAATAAAAATTATCTTTGGAGATTACTATTTGTCAGTTATGTTCCTACTGGATTTTTATGGAGAGAAAATGAATTTCACTACTGAAGTTCACTTACCTAGGGTAGTTGAATTAGTTTGTCCATTTGCATTGGCACTTTGAATAGGTTTATCCATGACAATGTAGGCTATAAAGATTGTTTACAATCATTTTTAAAGTAAAGTAAATGGAAAAAACTACATCTCAGAAAGTAAAATATCTCTCTAATAAATTGTTTTACGAAAGTACAACAGTAGAAGTGTGGTGTGAGCTGGCTACAAGCCGAAATTGTGGACATCAGTCTACGTTAATGTTTACGTCCCGAATCGGGGTCATGAGAAAAAACAATAACAAAGCTTAACCTTGAGGAACTCAACAACCAATCACAGAAGACTTAACGTGTGCAAATACGATTCGCAGATATATGGCTTAACTTTCTGAGAAACGGTCACAAGCAGTACAGAATAGCCTTCAGCAAGAAAACAACCAATCAGAAGACGTTGCTTCTCTGCTAACAATAACGCTAATAATAATGTACATAAAAATCTATAAATATCTGTTGATTTTCCCAATAAACGATCTGTTGCCTGACCCTTGTCTTCTGTCGTTACACAAGTATCATTGTATTGTCAACCCACTATCTTCTGATATCTTAAACATCAAAGTAACAAGAAGTTCAAACAAATATTGAATGGTTCTACGCTTTAAATACGGGCATCTATGTTGAGGTATAATAAATACGATGAATTATAACTACACTACTGACAAGAATTTGTAAGTAGTATTTTTTGTGTCTGTGTGTGTATGTTGTCTTTTGTAAGAATCTTAAATAACAAAGCAACGAATTAATTTGCAATCAGGAAAATAAAACCATTGTGAAATAATATAGAAAGTATGAACTATGAAGACAAAAGTAATTTCAATGTAACGTTTGTTAATTCTGCTACTAAAAGGCCGCTGTCTTCTGTTTTTATATCTTTACACACCACATAATAAAAAGTTATCTAGTTATATTGCCTTCTTCTTCTTCTACTCCTTCTGAAATCTGTTCATAAAACAATTGAATATCTCCATCTACACAAGTGAACATAGAAAGATGGGATACTTTATCACTCGACTTATGCTGGTCAACTTGAATTTCTCCTTGACCTAAAATGTAGTAGATATATCTTCAAGAAGTAAAGATTTAAAGTTATTGATTAGTGATCTTTTCTTTTATTCACCTGTCGTACTAATCAGACTGACATAACGTTACTTAGATAGTAAGATTCTACAAATTTGTCTGAATGCTTTACTTTAGCTGTAAATATCCATTCTATCTGTCTAACATTGGAATGTTGGCTGCACTCCTATTATTAATAATAAGGAGCTAATTCTTATGACTTTACTCAGGGATATGACATTTTAAAATAGCAGTTAACTGCATTTCTGCATTTACTATGTTCTTCATAAATATGTAGATGAAAATGGAGATGGATTGGGCGTACTCTGAAAAGACTGTTGAGTGATATCACGCGTCAAGTCAGAATGGGAAACGACGAGTTGGGCATGAGACTGAGGACAATATGCAAGAGATCGTATAAGGAGGAGAAGGTGAAAGTGAAGGATTATAGGCAATCGTGTAGCTAGTCTGAAAAGACAGCAAAGTGAAATGGTGATGTGCTTGTGAAGCCATATTTTCCTACTCGGAAACCAAGGGAATAATAATAGGAATAACTACTTTTCTCAGATCAGTTAATGTGACAGATAAGTCGGGGTGGAAAGACACTAAGGGTAAAACAAGCTTATTGATTTCCCCATACACTCATCATTATTTGTCTTTCATTTTCATTTGAACTACGACCATTGAACAAATAATTACCATTATCAATATAAATTGTCGACGGTTAACGGCGAGGCAGTAACTCATCGAAGAAGACATTGCGAAATGGTCGCGTTATGTCATGAATTGGTAGAAGTTCGAATTCATGGACTGGCCATTGGATCGGCTCCCAGTGGCTTAATGGTCTACGAGCTCGCTAGCCTTGTAACCAGAAGGTCCTGGGTTCGAACCCTTGTGGCGTGTGGGTGCGTACTGTGAAGAGTCCCAAACTAGGCTGACGAAACAGCTGGCTGTCCAGTACTTCCAGGCAAGTTTTCTAATGGTTCTGTAACTGATGTCAGCTCATGATTACGTTTAGATGAATGTTTCAATTATTTCAGCTAAATCAGCTAAATTCTGAAGTTATAGCTCAGTTGAACACATCTTTGCAGCTTCTTAACAACCCCTAAAATTCCTGTAAAAATAACTCATGAAAATTGAAAACATAAAATACAGTGGAAATTTATAACTTAGAGAATTACGTTGTGGTACCACTTCCGGTGGTATGCGATCAACTGCAAAGACGAAAAACCAAAGAATAGAGGTTAAACACATATTTCATCAAATGGGGAACAAATCTCTCAAATTTTAAGCATTATATATATGTAGAAATCGCACTAGTGAAAGATATCATCAGGAGTTAGTGATTTTCATTTTCTTATCGCTACGATTTATTCGAAAGAGTAGTATCTTCTTCTATTTTGACCATTTACGGGTGATTTTCATTTGCTTATTGTTCACCTTCACTTATATCTATCAGATTCTTTTGCTTTTTTATCTGTATTGAAAAGAAATGCCTTACTCTTTGAAGTTGAAAAGCATTTCCCCTCCCCCCCCCCTCAAACAGATTGAAGACTTTCACTAAAACAACAAGTGTTATATATGGTGAGAGCTGTATGCTAGCCAAAATTGATCGACAGCAATTTACGTCAATGTTTACGTCCCAAATCTTGGTCATGGGAAAAAAACAAGAACAAAGCTTAACCTTGAGGAACTCAACAACCAATCACAGCGGACTTAGCGTGAGTGGATAAGATTCGCAGATATATCAACGGACTGTCTTAGAAACGGCAACAAAGAGATGACAGAATAACCTTGAGCAAGAAAACAACCAATCAGAAGACGCTGTTTCTCTACTGATAATAACGAATAATAATTTATATAAAAATATACAAATATCTTTTGATTTCCTCAATAAACGATTTGTTGCCTGACCGTTGTCTTCTGTCGTTACATATATTTATAATGTTTTGAAAATATATCACATATTGCATTACATAAATGTATTTCAGACTTACCCAAATGATGGTTTGATGCTTGTGGAAGACCTAAGACATTGACAAAGCAGACAGTAGTAATTAATCAATATATAACTTGTGATTTTTTTTCCTAATCATACAGTAACATCGTTACAGATATATATCATAGATAAAATAAAATTATTCACATAGTTCAGACATTATTCCCAAGCTTCAACAAAGAAACAGGCTAAACAACCCATCATGAGATACTCTGGCATAAACTGTCAAACAATTCCAACAGTGGTGTGAACACGGGCAGTAATTTTGCTCGAAATATTACCAATAACAAAACTTATCATTGTGTGTAAACTATTGAAATATAATTATACTTTATTTGTCTATGTTGTGGTGGTGTGACTCATAAAATGGGTTCCAACGGAATAGAATATAAACTGTATAGATATAAATAGCTGTTTGATCACTTGAAAATATATACCTTGACTTCCGTGTCTTGCCTTCTGCTGTTACAATGTTAGTATGGGTGATATGTGAGGGTAAAAATACAACATGTATCTGTTTCAGCTCTCATTACTTACTCTCAATTTGATAAACTGATAAAAATCATACAATTAGAAGTATACTTCGCCCTCAAAGAATGAAAAAGCAAGCACTAGAGAACTCGAAAGGCATCATCAGATGCTCGAGTGGAACTCGAATAGGAAATGACAAGTTGGGCATAAACCCAATGATGATTTGGAGGTGATCATGTGAGGAAAAAATAAAAGTTTATGGGTTATCAAGGAGCCAGTCAAAAAAGACTACGAAAGAACAGAGTGAAATGGTGATTTGCTGTCGAAACCCTATGTTCCACTGGAAACCCAAAGGAATAATAATGTTGTAGCCATTCCTTCTCATGTATATGAATACCGATTTGTGAAATAAGTTTTAATAAAGTTGATTTAACTATTGAATAACTTTCATGAATGATCCAAAGGTATTTATATTCCCTTATCTCATCTTTCAAAGTGTACTTAATGAGGATTATGTTTGAAAATAAATCAGATGAGTATAGAATAACTTGTGCGTCGGTGACACAGCGGTAGAGTGCTGGCCGACCACGCACATGGTCCGGGGTTCGATCCCCGGCCACCGACTCACTCCTTTACCTCGCTAAAACAGGCAAAAAGACTGGTAAAGAGGGAAGGTTGGGCATGAGGCTAGCAACCCTATCCTGTAAAAATAATCACCACTGCTACATAAACTTCAAGCCTCTAGCTTGAAGCCCTATGTTCCACTGGGAACGTGAAGGAATAAAAAAAATAGAATAACTTCATCTAATTGCCAGATATCAGTGAAATTCATCCCTACACTTTTGTATCATTAAAATTTCAATACTCAAATACTGACCAGATGCATTATTTTCCACCAACATTCAAATTATTGCTAGTAAAGATAACATAAAGTTCCACAAGCTTCTTAAGAAAATCTGATTGTCACTTGATTATGATCACTGAACGTAAATGTTAGTAAACATTTGACTAGATATTACTACATAGACTCTTGAATAACAAACAATATGGGCAATTGTAAACGATTTATGATGGTGTAAAGATTTATCTAAGGAATGCCCCTTTTCCTTTTCAAACGTTTCAATAACAAACTTGAATTTATAAGAAATGACCAAGCTACTAACATCTTGTGCTCTGTGTTTTGTATGTAACTTTATTCCATCAATCACTAGAAAAATTCTGCATTTATTTAAATGACAATCAAAATAGCCTCCCTCCCTACTGCTTCATCTTGTATTTCAACTGAAATCTATTCCATCTTGATAGAGCCTTATTTCGCTTTTAGTAACCGTAGAACTTTGAAGAACAAGAAGTTACTGAAAGCCATTTCCCACTCCCAAATCATTGGAATGTCTAGAAATGCATATTTTCTTTAAGTCTTTAGTTATGTAAACGATAATGCTGCATTCCAGCGACTTTATCAAGCATAGATGAATCGAGTTTTCTAATCTTGTCAATACTGCTAATGAATATGTGAGCTTTACACTAGTGAAACTTGTCACCAAAATGGATGAGATAGGTGAAATCATCTCTCATTATTAAGAAGCATAATTTAACTAGGCATTTACTGTATAGCAGTCGGAATGCTTTTCCAGTATGTATTCATTAACCTCTAATCAATAGGCTTTACTTAGCCTGTATATTACAATAATAATAAGCAGGTACATCCAGATGACGAGTCCCAAATAGGACGAAATGCACATCCTGGATTCCACTGCTAGCCACCATCCACCAATTAACCTCTAATTACATGCCCAGACATCGCCGAAGCATCTGCACAACAGGCCGGCATGTCAACCTGAGACCGAGCACTTCGGTCCAATCAATCGAATCGACGGGAAAATCTAAAATTCAGTTAAATAATTAATATGACCCGTTGCACAAGAGGTGGCTCTCGTGGCCTAAGTGGTCTAGTGGATAACGCTTTGGCGTTTGAAACTATGGGCACTGGGTTCGAGCCTCGGTGGGAATATCATCACTCACTGAGGAATACAGGTACGTCCAGGTGACGAGTCCCAAATAGGACGAAATGCGCGTTATCCTGGATTCCACTGCTAGTCACCATCCACCAATTAACTAATAATAATAATGACCTACAATCAACGTATTTCGTATCAAGGATGAATTAGTTGTAATCGGTATTACATTGTTATTATTAGCAGTTAATATTCTTGAAAGTATTGGACGTTAACAATCAGTTGTTGATAATGTTTCACTATCTTACTCGATAACTGATTCAGGTTTTGTTTAACAGTATTTAACTGTGTTACTTTATCCTAGTCTTAACCTTATCGCTGTCTTACCCACCGTATCTGTAAGTACTGTTTAAGATAATGATGTTTTCTAGGCAATTATTCATAGTGAAACATATATATATATATCAAACTTAGGGCAGCTTGCTTACAACTTGGGCTACCAAAAACCCCCATCATTATATTGCATTTTATTTCTCGTGTTCACATTTTTTTAATCTATAAAAATATGACGTCTAATAGTATTGTTTACTCTCGCAAGTATGTATAATGTTTACAGGCTTCAGATTCGCGAGTTCTGACCAAACTTGAGATAAAGCATAATCAGATGGTTGGAGGCCATCCGCAGGAAGCCCAGCCTTGGACCTAGGTGTTTCGTGCTAGTTGGTACTCACCAGTCAGCAAGACGCATCTGCAACCTTGAAGGAACTTATGTCCCTTCTGAGATTCGAACCCGCGTCACCCAGTGACTGCTGACTAGCACAAAACCTAGGTCAGGCAAGGCTTCCTGCCGAATGCCTCCAACCATCTAACATCAACAATTCAAAGTGCACCGTGATGGAGAGCCACCTAGTGGCATGGTGGCCACATTGCAAGCTTGACTGATAGAATTCAGTCTGCACCGAAGATAGGACTAGACACATTACACTAGTTACTGACTAGTGTCCAATCAAAAATATAAAGCATAATCGCCGGTGACAAAGTATCCCAATACATGAGATAACTGTTCCTGAGAATTTTAGTACAAACTGCCACTCTCTAGGAAATAAAGTGAACTACTTGAAATCTGTAATCGTTCAGTTATGTATTCAGGTCGCAAAATGTATTTATGCACTTTTTTGAATTGGCTTTTAACCAAATGTCGTGTGTTTCTCGAAGGAGATAAAGAAGAAATATCATAAGGGATTGGTTTGCGCTTCAGGTCAGGCGACACTGTGTCATGCGATCTACTCTCAATTACTATTTTACTTGAGGGTGCTGGACGAAGAGAAAATTTTTATGCAATAAATTCTGTTGAGAATTCTATACATTTTATGAACACTGTCCAGAATACAGCTATTATTATTACTATTATTATTATTATTAAAGACATCCACAAGAAAATACATATTAGCCTGTATATTAAAAGGATAGCTGGTTTTTAGAAACAAGTTCCCAGTGGTCTGTAGGATCATTCGACAGTTGCGTACTTTATGTTCATAAACAGCAAATAAACTATGTCATCTTAAACTTTATACACAGAATGCAATTTCCGTAATGAGCACTTGCAATAACGAGGCGTAACTAATTAGTTTTTATTGTTGGTTAGAAGAAGGGTCAGACACCTAAGTCTTCAAAGTATCCCAAGTATTTATCTTATACCTTATACACTTATATTCATGAGGGAGAAATATAATCAGTAATGGCACTAATGACAAGATGAATTTCAACAGAACCACCGAGTGACAAGTTATTCGTCAAAAAACCTGTTGATATTCAATTCATTCCTGTGTGAAATAGATGTTATACAAACTAGAAGCAAGTTAGAACAGTTATGTTGAACTTTTTTCAAGTTATAATGTTCAACTGGTTGAAATTTACTGAAAATTACGAAAACTCAGCAATAACATACACCCCTAATAGGTGATTTGGATATTTTGGGAAAAGGAATTAGAAATATGTCGAAAAAGGTCAAACTGTTTTTTACTATTCATCCAACCAATTTTGTGAATCGCTTTATACTGCATCAAAATTTGACATCAATTACTTATTTTGTGGTAGTAAAAGAAGATAAAATAAATATTTAATAGTGTGAAATATTCCCATATCATGAATTAAAAGTGGGTCTGAATGAAGAATATTCTTTTCAATAAATTCTCCTTTTTACGTCCTTACAACTATAAAATATAATAATTATCATTGCATTAATAGCCATTTATACGGCGGGTATATTTTAAGTAGAATAATACATTACTTAAAGGATGATTAAATAAGTAGCATTTGTGTGACAAATGTACTGCTTCGATTTCAAGTACAAAATATCACGAAGTTCGAGACAATGATGATGACTAAACACATATATTTAGAAAGCTAGAGACTAAAGCCCTATATACATAATTCCTCAGCCTCATACTTATAAAATACCAGCTTAATCTGTTCAGATGCTTAGCATTCAGGACGAGGTCGACTTGTTCCGAAGACTGTGTAGAGAAAGAATCCTCAGGTCATACGGGATATTCTGAACGAAAACTGACATCCAGAGAGGTTTATAAAAGTCATTATAAGTTATAATTGTGGTAAACATGAACTCGCAGAGGTGGAGAAAAAGCCATTATTTTTGCGTCTACAATTCAAGGAAGATACTCCTAGGGAGATTCTATCCTAACGTCTAATCAGAGAGACAAAGAAGACTTTCTGCTTTACACGTCTGTTGCTTTCCTTCAGTAGCCATCTAATGTTCACCCAGAAACTGAAAGACGTCTTACCCAATCTTAGCCCTTCTTTATACATATACCGTTTCAGCTGTTCCTGTGGTTCAAGTTATATAGAGAGTATGATTAGGCAGGTTCATCTACGTGTTCGAGAACATTTACCAGCTTTGTTCAGTAAGGGGGAAATAAAATGCATAAAAAGTGCAATTCTATCCCACTTTGTGGACACAAGATATCGCATTGACACTAATGTAGCCTTCAGGGTTCTATACCACATTCCGAAGTCATTATCACCCACAGTTCGCCTACGTCTTCTACATATATCTGAAACTACTGCATTAAGGTCGACTAAGCTGGAACTTTATATGTTCAGATGCTGTTCCTACCGTGGCCAAACATGGATTAGACCTTCTACTCCTCTTCAAAAGTGCCTCTTCCTCTTATCTCTTCTTTGCTTTGTTTATTCTAATTTATTATTATTGTTTATACCCCACCCCCCTTATTACAGCATTCCTTCAATACTATCGAATTTTTAATATAATATTATTCATACTTATTATTAGTGATATTATCTCTTTTCTCAGTATATGCCTCCACCTGTTTCATTTCACATATTGGCTATTTCATAACGAAATTGTTTACTGCTCACTATTTTGTACTAGCCACTCACCAACCTTGAATTGACTTGTCAACCTTCCTTCCCCATATTACATTAACTTAGTATGACTAATCGCCATCATCGTCTTTCATTTCGTAATATTTTGTGCATGAAATCAGATCAGCAGATTTGCCACAAAAATACTACTTATTTTATCCCCTTATAAGTAATCTGTTATTCAACGTAAAAAAATGCATTCGCGGCATAACTGACTAGATAATTGTAAGAAAGTGAAAAAGGGAAATTTATTGAAAAGAATATTCTACCTTTCAAACTAACTTTGTTAGATAAAGTTTTACAGCAAAACTTCATGAACTTACAATGTGTGAAGGAAAGGGAATACACAAGACATAACAATGGAATTGCAAACATCATCATGAATTTGCAACACTCAAAATATTTCTTTTGCTTTTAAATACATGTTTATTGCATACCTCATTTTTTCCAGTGCTGATTGGTATCAATATTGTTTACACAAATTAGTATATGTTAAACAAAGTAAGGAGACAAATAAAGAACATCGTACCAAAAGTGTAACAAGGATTTATTATTAAACACTATCAAATTACAATAAAGTATATGAGAATAAGACTATTTACAATTATATTTAAGAATAATAGTGATGCAGAAAAAATATATATACAGACTAAATATTGAATAAATAAAAAGTGGATATGATTTAACTGTATATGTGCTTCGTTTTCATTCTAAATAAATATTTATACGCTTTACAAATGGGTAAATAAAAGACATTTAAAATGATACCCTTTTTTTTTCAAATATTCTTCAAGAATGTGAATATGTTGAGAAATTCATACGTATTCTTTTGTGAATAAACATATATTGACGATAAAATTTATAATTTGGGTTATAGGTTTTGATCAGAAGTTGACATCAGTTTTAAAAAAAGCCAGTGAAAAGAACTAAAGAGTACTGGACAGCTGTTTCTGCCTAGCTTGGGTCTCCTCAGTAGTACTCACCCAGTGGGGTTTGAACTCAGGACCTTCCGGTTACAAGACAAGCTCGTATGCTACCCAGGCCACTGAGACCTGATCCAGTGGCCCTAGATTCGAACCCCTGATAGGTGCACACTACTAAAGAGTCCTATACTAGGATGACACAGTTGTCCAGTACTCCTTGGTGATTTCAAGTAGTTCTCTAAATGATGTCAGCTTATAGTGAAAACCTGTGACCAATAAAATCCCAGTAAACTGACATAGAGAAGATGGAGATGATGAAGATACCCACCAACGAACAGCAACAACAACAGCCAGCGCCAATCACCATCAATGGGAGAGATTTAAAGGAGGTTACTTCCTTCACTTATCCATTCAGGAAGCATCGTTTCAACCACAGGCAGTCGGAATGGATGAAGATATCAAAGTCAACAAGGCAGAATCGGAAAGGAAAGATACGCCTTCATCAATCTGAAACCAGTTTGGAAATCTTCTGCACTTAACCAGCATGAATAAGATTCGGATTTATTCAACACAAATGTGAAGTCAGTCCTTCTATACGGGTCAGGAACTTGGCCAGCGTGTCACGAAAAGAATTTCCAACAGGTTGCAAACTTTTATAAACAGCTGCCTGCCTTCTCTGGCTCCATACTGAAGATCAGGCAAGAAAGAATTGGCGACATGAAATTCTGTCTGGGAACAAACCAACCAAGAGCATAATACTTAACAAATATGTAGGAGAAAATCGAAATGCATAGAGTATACATTGAGAAGACCGTCGAATAACATCGTGCCAGGCCATTACTCGAGTGGAATCCGGATGGGAAGCAATGAGTGGGTCGTCCTAGGGTAGCATGTAGGAGATCGTGTGAGGAAGAGATGAGAGAGTTTGAGCAATCATGGAGCTAGCCAGCTGAAGAGGATAACAAAAAATAGAAGAAAGTGGAGATGTGTTGTTGAAGCCGTATGTTCCACTCGGAACTCAAGGGAACAATAATAATAATAAACTGACACTAGATTTATAATTAATGGAGTGCTTCACAACATTTCTTTATAAAAAGCATTCTTTTAAATGTGAGAAGATTAGATGAGACAATAAAACGAAGAATATATTGGCAAGCAAACTAACTTCTTTACTACTGTATCTATGTCTACGAATAAACACATAAGATGAAAGTAAGACCAAAACTGAGGACAGTTATCTTTTTGAAATTTAAGTTCTTTAGTGATATGATTTAAGAAATTGCATAGAAATTTTGATAAGAGTCTTTAAGTTTAATCTAAGATACTTTCTCCTACTAATGCTGAGCAAACACAATCAAAGCAAACTATGCCCTTCACGTATTCAACTTATTTTTCACTAGTAGTTATCCATATAAGATGTGTAATTAAGTAAGTTCAGAAAATCTCTTACAGATGAAGATAATATTGGGTTATTTACTTTCTCATTCACCGTAATCTGAGTGCGTCGGCAGTTCAGTGGTAGAACGCTCGCTAACCACGTGGTCTGGGTTTCGATCCCTGGCCGACGCACTCCTACACCTCTCTAAGCCGGTTGTAAGGCTGGTAAAGAGGGAAGGTTGGGCGTGAGACTAGCAAACCCACCCCGTAAAAGTAAAAACCACTGCTACCGAAACTTCAAGTGGTTGAATGGTCATTGGGTTAATCCTGTAACCTGAAGATCCCGAGTTCGATCTCTAGTGGAGTCATGGTTATATTCTAAATATCGCGCATTGGGATAAAATAGCTGTGAAGAGTTCTTTGGTTTTCAGTTATCCTTCACATGATAGCAGTTCGGGACGAGATCTACATTGTGATCATTTTTTTACTTAACCGATGATTAGTACCTCTCGATACTTACATAACGTTAGAACATGGCCATTCTTATCAAATACCAACCTTTCTGTATACGCAACAGAACAAAACAGTTACGGTTACAAGGATAGTGAGAGGTTAATCACGCTATCTTTCCGTGGGTTGAACTTTTTTGATAGCAATAGCTTCTGCGAAATGAAGTAACCAAGGCTTTCTGTGCACATTGTTTATTTTGAGGACCTAACTATTTCCCACTATATGTTCCGCATTAATTAGGTGTCTGACAATTGCACTTGAGAACACTTTGCTATCTTTCATACGGAGACTTTTAAGGATATGCTCAGAATATCTAGTAGACGCCCTCTTCTCAGTCTTTCATAATGTTTTATACTCTTTCCATGGTTAGTTGAAGTCAACAATCCAAAGTTTTCAAATGTATAAAAGGTATGTAGATGACACCTTTATTATTCGTAATAGTGATTATAATTTGAATTATATATTAAATGCATTTAATGGTTGCCATCCAGCGATAAAATTCACACTCGAAATGGAGAATGAGTCTAGTATTCATTTCCTCGATGTGAACTTATCAAGAAAGACCGATGGAACTCTGTAGAGATCGATTTATCGAAAGCTGTCATGGAATGGTCAAATGACAAATTTCTACAGCTGGGTGCCCATTGGTCCGGTCGCTTGCCATTCGCATTCGGCGCATATGTAGCCCTGATACTGTGGAGGATAAGTTAAATCTTTTGAGGAAAATCCTAATAGAAAATGGATTTCCACCACGTTTTATAGACAAGAATATACAGTCAAATCCTATGAAATGTGATTCGTCATCTGTGGCCAAGAAAATATTGTACATGAGCTTGGAATTCAAAGGTGACTTAGCTTCCGATATCATGAAAAGAAGGATATCACAGTCCCTGAAAAGAACATTCCCTGCTGCATCTTTGAGAATAGCCTTTACCAGTCGACCATCACTGTTCAATAACCTGAAGGACAAGATCCCGCAGTTGAGCAACTCTATGTGCGTTTATCAATTCACCTGCTTGTGTGGAGCTAGGTATATTGGTCGTTCGACTCGAGTTTTGTCCAAGAGGGTGCAAGAACACTTTCCTGCATGGTTACGAAGAGGTGGAAGTGGAGCAACATAAAGCGCAATCACTGAACATCTGGTCGATAACGAATACCCTATCTCACAGCCTCCGCCTTTAAAGTCATCTACAAGGCGAAAAGCAATTTACCCAAATCACCACATATCCGACTCATCTGTATTGCTGAAGCTTTGGCTATCGAAACAGAAAAGCCAGATCTCTGTATACAGAAAAAGTTCGTTCAACGCCTCCAATTTTCATAGTCTTAACCCCTCTTTGCTAAAGTATGGTAATCCCTAATCATACTTTGGCTCTACCAATTTTTTCGTTATGTTTATTCACTTTGTATACTATTCCTTTATTACATCAATTGTTAGTATTACTATTCTCACTTTGAACTGTCCCTGGTATTATTTCACTCGTTCCACTTGTCATTCTAAATCAATTCTGTTTTGCAACGTTAAATTCTATGTTATCAAATTTCACACAATGTTACGTAAGGTTTTTATTTTATTCGATTTGCCTACTAATCCTATAATTGCACACCCCTTCCAAGTTCTATACATCCTACGAATTATTATATATATGACATTAATTGTTTTGCCACTTGACATTTAACTATGATTATAATCACAAATATTTTAATTGCATTTCATACTACTATTATTATTTTATGCATTCACACCTATGATTCAATCCGCTCACGGGGTATATATATATATATATGATTGTACAGCTTGAAAATAACTATTGTCACATTATATAGTAAAATATAATAATAGACTGTGAAATTAAGATTAAACTATGCAACTACAGTACAGTGTGATGCTTATAATTAGTTCAGCAGCACAAATAAGAACAATATTTAGAGTTATCCGGTGTTATGAGGAAAGTTAACTATTCTAGATTGAGGTTGAAGGCCATGGGAGGGAGAGGGATTCAACAAACGTTTTCTGAACACAGAGACTGAGTTGAAAAATCATTATGGTGACCACCTAAGCAATGCTTAGCAATCGAAGGCATGTAAGCCTAGGGGATTCAGGTGACACCTTGTAGAGAATTGTAAAGGCTGGATTTTTATTCACTCTTGCGCTCAGTATCCACAAAGTGTGTCACTACGGAACTCCTAAATGACCTTATGCCTCTTTTATCTAACCAAGTTGGAAAATGTCCAAGAGCATGTGAAGAAAACCTTTTTTCATTCCCTTGAGTATCGAATGGAAAATAGCCCTTTTTCTGAAGTCTTACTAGTGACGACGTTTATGTATGAAGTGGAGTAGTTAGCCTCACTCCTAACTTTCTTTCTGGGCTTACTACTAGCTAGTTAACTAGGTAAGGTTTCGGACTGTATCGTCCAGAAATCAAGCCTGGATCATGTGAACGGTCGGCGAGCATTCTAGGGTTATTGGAAAGAAATATTCTCTCAGTCTAACTTTCTTTTCTCATAGATTCAATTAACTGTTTTTCTTAAACTAATATAACCATTAAACTATTATAATTAAGCTTCCTCATATATATATATATATATA